ACGATTTTATTTGCTTTCCTGGTTGCCTCTTACACTTTATTGGAGGTATATAGGAACATAAAATATCCATACCTAACTTATGTTAACCTTCTTTTTCTTTTATCAATTTTCTTCATGATACAATTAAATCAAATAAATGATCTCGTAGCAGTTTCACAAGTGATTATGATTTTCAGCACCCAATATACTATCCAACTAAGTAGAGCTCTCCACTTATTTGGATTATGGTTTAGGAATAGTCACAGATGTCACTCTGTTCTGACACCCAAGGAGTTGGCAATGAAGCCAGTGTCTTGCTGGCCAATTTCTAGGGAGATGAAGGGGGGTGTTAATAGTTAAAGAAATTGTCAAATTCACGAACATTGATTAATGGCATACCAGATTTTTAATAAATTGGGAAAAATCAATAAAACCCATAAATATCAGAACAGTAGTCACTTTATATTTCTTTTTTAATGGATATTTTCTTTCCACAGTGGATAAAAGTGGGCGTAAATATCTCCAACTTCAGCTTCTCTCCCAGCACCCTTATCTTTCACCTGGGACATGCAGGTATGTGCAGTAATCACCTCTGTAAATCTGGGAAGGTATACAGGTCAAAACTGAAATTGAAGTGGAACTAGGCAGTGCACACATTCTCTTGGGGATCCTTGTGTCCTTTCTTTCCCATATACACCCTAGCTGGATGGAGTCACAACCCTTTCTGCTGTAGTCTGTGGCACCAAGATTACTTATTTTGTTGACTTACATGGTAGTAAATATATAAACCGTGTGTGTTATGTGGTGAAAGCATTCAATACACAGCAAGAAAGTGAAGTCTTTGCTTCTTCACATTAGACTGTTATGAAACCAGGCAGTGGATGGGTATAGATTGCCTGAGGCCTCCTCGTGGGGAACTATTGTAATGTCATCTCCAAGGTGGTGGGCAGCTAAAAGTATTAGTGTGAAAACATAAACAAGTGTTTTAGTGCTGGTGTAAGTGTAATTTCCGTGTTTGAGTTTGTTGTGCTAAGCACTTACAGAGCTGTGCTAGACCCTTCTGGTGTGTGGGTGTGTGTGTTTTAGTTTGATTTTAAATATTTTCATGAGATCAGGTTAGCTTACTGTACTTGAGTGTTTGCTGGCTTCATAAATCCATGATCACATGTCTTTTTATGCCTTACAGCTATGTTGGGCCTGATGTACGTGTATTGGACACAACTGGACATGTTTCAGACCCTGAAGTACTTGGCGATTTTGGGGACAATCACCTTCCTGGCAGGAAACCGCATGCTTGCTCAAAAAGCAGTCAAAAGGTAATCAATCTGAGACCCTCTCTTACCTGTATCTGTCCCGCTGTATGTATAAAAAGAAAATGCTAGCTTTATCCTCTCCCCACTGAGTTAATGACTGTAACAATAGGTAATCCAAGGATGGAGCACACTGCCGCTTTACACTTGCCAGCACTCAATGTACGTTGGCCGAGGATTGTGCAAGTTGTAGTTCGTCAACAATTACAGGGCTACAGTCTCCCTCACACTGGAGATCACCAATGTCCTTTAAAATGTTATTACGATAATGAATTTTTAGATGAGCATATGCCTTCAAAATATTTCATAGAAATTCCTCCCTTAGAATACTCTTGTTCCTGTGGAGTCTTTATTCTGACTCAACTCCACATCTCCCTTGCTTTTATCTTGAGCTTTCTCACTTCCTCCTTCCTGCCTTTTCTTTCTCCTACCTTTTTTCAACTCAGGACTGCAGCTGAGCAGAGCAGTAGGTTGGCAAAGTATAGAACGCTTCGGTAATCGTGGGGCAATCCATAAAGTAAGGCTGCCTTTTCAAACCTGCTTTATTCGATAACCATTCTTCAGACCTACTCGCTTGCATGCATTTTACTACATCCTACAATCAAATTGCCTGCAATGTTCACCATCTTCCATCTACGTGCTTCTCCGTATACTCTACAGCCATTAACCATTTGAGCGCTTGAGATTGTGTTGTGTGTGTGTGTGTCTCTAGCACTTGTAACGTTAGCTGAAACTTAAAGATAACCACTGTCTTAATCTTCTGGCACATGGAGGGCCAGTTTAGCAATGCGAAGAGGAAGGTATTCGGTAGACTTAGAATTTTAAAGAATTACAACATTTGGGCCAAATAGCCTGATTGGAAAAATAACACTTTTTAGAATGGCTCAAAATGTGCAATCCCCCTGTTCTTGGGAATTTCTAATGTTGGTTAATAACCCCTGAATTGGATACCCTAATTCTGAGCCATTTCCCATCATCCCTCCCTGTGAAAGTAGCAGCTGATTCTAATACCTTGCCAGAGGTGTGAAGTGGTTTCGAAGAAGCACATTTTGTTTCCGCATCATACTAACCGTACATCGGTATATTTTCCAACGCATGCTCTTTTCAGGCACAATTGAACGACTGAGTGTAAACACAACTGTCTGAAACTTTCTGATGAACATGAAAATTCTGTATGTCTTGCATTCCTGCAACCTTCTAGATTCTTATTTCACTGAAATGCACAGTTGTACAATCTTTTCTATCGTTTATGCAGATTATAGAGTCCCTACATTTTATAAAGTAACTGACTTGAAATAAAGCTAATACGGTTGCAGTCTTTTATTATCACAATTCCTGTAATTGAAGTGTCAGACTTTTTTTTCTTCCCAAGCAGTCCTGTCCATTTTAGAAAGGAAAGCAGCAATGTGTCTGAACAGTAAATACAAATAATGGCCACTTCATGCTTTGCCTGACACTGCATTCTCCTAGCTTTACCAGTTTCTAATTTAATAACTAGCCAAAACAAAAATGTTTTATGGATAGACCTTATTCTGCAAAGTTTAGGCATCCAGTTTCCCTGCATATATTTTTCAGTACTTAATCTTTGGGCAGAGCAAACTGAACGATATGGTCCTATTTTAATATGCTAAACAAGGCACGGGAATCAAGCATTTATTAATGGAGAGCTTTTTAACTGACCACAAATATGCCGTACAAAACCAGACTGGTCTCTATAAAAATTTCAGAAAATGAAAGTTCAGTCGAATATCTATCCTGTGGCATGTTTTTACCCAGCGATTTTTCTGCATAAAGACAAGTTAAGAAGTCTCTCTTGTTAGTTCATTAAAAATCTCTTAGGAGTTATGATCTAAACTACCAGAAACAAAATATGTATATTTTTGCACATAACTGTTGAAGCTAACCTCACAGCACCACCTCTCCAGTACATACAGCTTGATTTGTGACCACATGTAAAATCACCCTCCCCTGAGCTGAATTTATGGCCAGTTTTGTTTTTGCATGAATGCTATGAGGCTAGGAATTATTAGAACTGTAAAATGTTTTACATGCATCCTTTCTGTCTTTTTTTCCCCCCTCTTTCTTAGGACGGAGAAATGAGTCTAGACCATAAAATGAAGATGATATGAAGATGCCAGCGTTCATACGTGCATTTGTGCAAGTTCAAACTGCAGTCTTGTTTGTTTTTTGGGTTGTTTTGTTAGGTTTTTTTTTTATATTTGTAATTTTTTTTTTTTTGGGGGGCCCAAATGAAGTTTTCTGCCCTGATTGTTCAGTGACCACTCCCATACACATGGCCATCTCTCCTTTCCAGCAAAGTCACAACGGAGTTAATGACCGACATACATGGACATCTCATACTGTGCCAGACAAGGTTGTGATTCGGCGGTGTCACCATGGCAACCTTGTTCCTTTCCAGGCAGTCAAATGGGTGCGAGGCGTATCGGGATCATTTTTATTTGTGGGATGAGAAGGGTTTTGGATGGCAGGGGAATAAGGGACTTTGTACGATTATTCTCCTGAAAATAAAATGGAAGGTTAGAGGGAAATGGTGTATTGTGTAATATTTTTTTTTTTTTTTTTTTTTTTTTTTAAACTTTAGCTATTCCTAAATAATGATTGTTATCAATCAATGGATTAAAGAGTCCAGGATGACCCTTGAAAAAATATTTGTCTTTATAACTTTCTGTGAACTAGCTAAAGCCATAAAATGGGAATTTGTGAGCATAGTAAAACATTCAATATATAATTTATTAAGGCCATGTGAAGCAATGTCCATGAGGAAAGAAGTAGAGCATGCTTCAGAATGCCCAGCTGTTCACACTGGGGAGCGCATATTTAAAGTAATAGGATGGTACACAGTGGAGTTATGGTTTATATTGAGACATATAAAATTTCCTATAGCGAATAGAAGCTCAAAATTCAGCGCTGGTGAATTTCATGGACTCTTCAGGCTTGCAGTAGCCAGTAACATTTAAAGAAACACTCTAAGGGCCATAACAAGTACAGTGCCCTGTAGTCGGTATGGTTCCAGGGGTACCCTGCTGTGGAAGTAGTTACACAGTTTGACTTCCAAACCAAGGTCCACTGGATTTAATACCCTGCCTCTCTACAGACTGCTAGGAACTTCCATTAGCAAATCTAAACTAAGACATCTGCAGTACAAGGCTAGCTCATTGTTTGAGAATGTCAGCTGATCGCTGTCTGTGCCTAGCCTTGCACAGCCAGGCTTAGTCCAGGAAAGAACTTCCAGCAGCAGATAGGGAGGGAGCGGCACCCAACAGAGCCCTGGTAAGAAGTCCAACTATTAACACATGGTTTGACTGCTTACATTAGAGAATGCTGGGACCATCCTGGCACCATAACCACTACAGTGCACTGTTCCTTCTTAGCTCTTGATGTGAGTTATATAAAGAGAAGTGTTCATAGTATAAAAAAGTGTGTATTTTTCTTTTCTAAAACATCCTTTTACATTGATGATAATTTATAGGTAATACTAATGTGCTACATTATATTTCCGTGGTATTTGGTTTGTTTCCCTATGAACATTGAAGTGTGTGTGTATATAAACAATCAGTACTCTTGTTATACTAGTTTAAGTATTTTGTTTCTTGAACACTAGTAAAATAGTTTTGGGTCATTCACTAGTATTCATTGGAGTGTTTATGGGCAGAAACAACATATTTTCAGTAAAATGTTTTATTTCTGACAGAGAAAATACACCATAACTATTTCATGGAAAGAGCATGGACGCTTATGATATGAGACAATATTTATATGCACACCAGGAAGGAGTTAAGCCTTCATCTGCCATCTGAATATACATAGCAATTATATTCTTTTTTCAGCAACTTTACTAATCCCTGCCTGTGGTTTCCACTTAACAGTGCAGTTCTCTCATCTTTTCACCGGGGTAGCTGCTAAAGCCAGACGTGTGGCGGCTGCTCTTCTCTCCTTTCAGGACCTTCACTGGAATGAGACAGAGCTGTTACATAATGTCTCTTTGGTATCCAAGTACAAAACATGTAGATGACCTGTCTACAATAAACACAAGCAGGCTGACACAAACAAACAAGCGGGGGGGGGGGGAAACATAGCCCTCAAACAGATTTGCATGTTTCATGGTACACATAATACAGGTATAGTGGCACATGGTGCTTTTCATTACTGTTAACATCAGAATGGCTGACTCAGCAATACTATATTAGAAAGGCTTTAACATAAATTAAGAAGTAGTTAACCAAATGTAAGGCAAGCCGCTCTTCTCGTCAAATCTATGGTGCTGCTTTGACACCATGGTCTTGTTAACAGTAGTAGGGCAGCTTTAGAACTGCCTTCGATGGAAGTTGTTTTTTTTTTTTTTGTCCCAAGACATCGATGTGGAGAATAACTAGCAGGTCTATACTGCACTTTCAAACATATTTTAAGAGAAAATCTATCCATAGATTTTGCCCCGGACCAACTGGGTCCTTAAAGAATACCTCCATAAATGATGAACTTGTAGTTAAGAGGGTTAAGGTAAAATATGTGTTAATGATAATTCCAAGTGCCTTACAGCTAATTTAACCAGCTCCAGTGCAGGGGTGCCCAAAAGGTAGATCCCCAGATGTTTTAAAAGTACTGCTTCCGTGATAAGGGATTCTGAAGGCATGCAAAGCATCGTGAGAGTTGTAGTCCAACATCTGGGGATCTACCCATTGAGCACCTCTGCTCTAGTGAATCAATAAGGCATTGAAATGAAGTACCAAAGTAGCAGAATGTTGGAGATAATGTCTACCTTTAGAGTTGAAGAACTCCTCCAACCAGCTCTGCTATTATGGCCTAATTTGACATTTGGTGTTTGGCGACTAAAAAAAAAGTTTGATTATGAGAAACATCTGTACTAGATTATAGGATTTAACTGTAGGAACTAAAAATCATATCTGCTCACCTTTCCCTCAGAAGAGTCTCCAAAGCATCTCTAATTGTCCTGTCGCTGTCACCAAGCTGCAGTCCTTTCCATTCCTTGATGTCTTGCCTGTGGCACAATGAGTGTTCAGAAACAGTGGATGATAAGGTTTCCCTGTTTCCCCACTTCCTACTTACCCTAGTCGTTTTCCCATCATGTTCTGTAAGTACCGTCTGGCTGAGATCTGGCCCAGGAACTTTCTGTAGGTATTGGTGAACATAGCATCCACATGCCTCTCCATCCTAGTTATTGAACAAAAAATGTCTACAATTTGGTTTATGTAACATGTCAAAAGGCTTGTTAAGCATAGTGAGTCTTAATTCCTTATTGTGTCATGTTTGCGATAATTTTGATTCATGAAACTTTACTCCGGTCTGACGTAGTTAATTTCTCATTCTTAAACCATTGGCTAACCTGGTGTTTGACAATTCATATGGGGGAAATATAGTCTTTGCTTTCCTTCTGTCTGACAAATCTTTCTACCACACTGTATATTAGATGGCTGTCATCTTTAAGCACAAACAGCGGTGTGGTGGAATCTTTCTGATCCACAAAAGCTCTATAAACTGCAGACTGAAGAAATCTGCTTTTATTATGTCATGTTTAATATTCTTGGCATTTACCAATCTCTTCAGATCTCTGCTGGGGAAGCTTCCTAAAAATCTACTTCTACCTCTATTCAGAGAAGCTGCATTAATAAGATTTAGCCTTTCTGGGACAGCGTCCAAAAAATAATTCACCATACAAAACATGTTTTAATACTTATTGCAGCATATGTGATGTTTCAACATACTAGTATGAGTTCTATAATATCCGTGGTGACACAGTTACTCAATGATCCTCCGACTCTGCACCCCTGATATTTAAGATGGAACTGTTAGAATGTCATACCTGTGCAATAAATTTAACTCTTCTTGCAGAGGAGAGGGTAGATTTCTGGTGGTCTCTCGCTGGTCAGGGATGAGTTCTTAATTCAAACATGTTTCTTACATTTGGAACTGCGACTTACTTAACTAACTTCACTTTGTGGTTTTTTTTCTTTTATCTCTGTAAACGTATCCACACCTATCCCTGGTCCAATTTTCCCACAGTCTTTATAGGACCACTATAGGCACCCAGACCACTTCAGCTTAATGAAGTGGTCTGGGTGCCAGGTCCATCTAGGATTAAACCTGCCTGCTGTAAACATAGCAGTTTCAGAAAAACTGCTATGTTTACATATGGGTTAATCCAGCCTCTAGTGGCTGTCTCATTGACAGCCGCTAGAGGCGCTGCCGCGCTTCTCATTGTGATTTTCACAGTGAGAAGACGCCAACGTCCATAGGAAAGCATTGAGAATGCTTTCCTATGGACTGGCTGAATGCGCGTGCGGCTCTTGCCGCACATTCAGCCGATGAAGGCCAAAGGAGGAGGAGAGTCCTCAGCGACCGAGGGAGCCCAGCACTGGAGAAAGGGGAGTTTTTAACCCCCTTCCTCTCCATTCAGCCCGGCGGGAGTGGGACCCTGAGGGTGGGGGCACCCTCAGTGCACTATAGTGCCAGGAAAACGAGTTTGTTTTCCTGGCACTATAGTGGTCCTTTAATATTGGGACCACAATGCACCTTCTGCACTGCAGCTTATTGCTGTTATTTGTTTTCTTGCCACTTGTACAACATACCTTTTAAAAGTGATCTATAAAAATACATATGTCTCTTTGGTGAACCTAATTCTTCTGAAAATGCGCACAGGCAAGACTTTTGCTTTTTTTGGGTGGGTGGGGGGGGGGGATTTGCAAGTTTACCAACAATAATTTCCCTTTAAACTGTGGTTTAGTCATGTACGACAATATTAGTAATGAGGAACTTGTTGCTGGCAGACTAACAAAACTTGTGAACCGACATGGTTTATTGTACAATGGGATCATGGGAAATTTAGCTTAGTTTGCATGAAGTGCCTTGTCTGTGCCTTCTTAGAAGGGAGATGTGATGTCACAGCATAGGTCTATCAAATCGAATGTTAAAAAAAAAAAAAAGTGTTATAGCTACATTTGTGTGCTAAATCCAAAATTACTCAAACAGGGTTATTTAGTAAGGTGAGAATTGACAGAAATGCTAAATTAATTTTGGATTGAAGGCAAAAGTAGCTAAATAGGACACTTTCTCCAAGTCAGCTATGCTTCTAGGTCAACTTCTTTGAGTTTAAATGTGAAATTTACTTTCAATTATTATTTTATTATTTATATAGCGACAGCAAATTTATAACCTTAAGTGTTTTGGGATTTTTTTTTTTTATCACTAGTTGTAAATTGCTTGGTTGTTAATGCATTGCACAGAAATAAAGCCTGCAGGGCCATGTGAGTGGGGGCATGCTTGAATTTGGCACTATTGAAGGCATATCCAAATATTTATGAGCTCAGATGGTATATCTCTGTAGATACCTAAGGGTGCATTTAAGCACCCAAGACATCACAGAAACATATAATGTGACGGCAGATAAGAATCATTTAGCCCATCTCGTCTGCCCAATTTCCTAAATAATTTCATTAGTTCCTGGCCTTATCTTATACCTAGGATAGCCTTATGCCTACTCCACGCATGCTTAAACTCCTTTACTGTGTTAATGTGATGGAATTCCAATAAAATAGAAGTTTAGTAGGCCAAGATTGCCACGTGGCATATGTAGATATGTGTTTGTAGTATCAGTTAGTTGGTTACACGTAGCCAAGATGCTGTCATCAATGTACTGAGCATGTGCAGGAATGTAGGAACTGAAATCACACTCCCTTCTTTTTTTCGGATGAGCCATGTGGTCTGACCGGATGAGCAAGTCCAGACTCTGTTCATTGATTGGTTAAGGGTATGTGTGGGTGTAGCTATTTATGGGAGGAGCTATATTGCTATATAAGGAATGTACAACATGTGTTCGGGGCTCAGATCTGTTGTGGAACATTAGTCCATCTGAGACCCGATCGGTACATGAATAAAGGCCTCTTACTTCCTGAATACCTGTGTCCATCTCTCTGTGTTTGGCTTCTGCACACTTCCACGGTTACATCTCTGGTGCATTGGCTGGGAAGCTCATCGTCACAGTAGCTGAGACAGAGACATGAGACGGTAGATCTTTACCAACGTTCTCCGCGGCAGGACCCCTGGACTTCTGCGTGGACCTCCTTTTGTCTCGGCGCCACTGGCCTTTTGTCCAGGAGATCATCGGCTTCTGCGCAGTGAGTACCGGGGTGCCCCGTCGATGAGTGTGAAGCCCAAGTCCAGGAACGAAGAGGTAAGATTAATACCGTTAGAGCGGTAGGACCACAAGGGGTTTGTATTTGGAATTGGTTTGGTTGTATGGAATCGGCCCCTTCCCTTTGGAAGGAAGAAGCGAAGGCGCACCAATTATGTTGACATTAGATGCTCTGTTGTCAGCCCGTCTAATACAGGTGGTTTGGGTCAGGCTGAATCTTGGTGTAAATAGTTCAGGCCGGACACCGGTGTCCTGTCTTGACTAGTGTATCTAGGTGTAAATTTTGGTCGCTAGGTCGGGGGGACCGGGAGACTATGCAGAACTCTTGTGTACATTCCATCTGCTAGATCTCAACCTATCTTGGCTAAGTGGGAGGCGTGTAAATTCAACCACTAGACTATTGATAGAGTTAATAGACTAAATGAGTCCTGTTGTAAATTCCGCTCATTAGTTCATTATATGTGGTGCTTGGGCAGCGTAGACTAACCGAATCCTGGTGTAAATAGTTTGATAGTTCTCAAGGTGCTGGCCAATTAGAATAGTTGGGATTATTGTAACTATTGTTAGACATACTGTAGTTGGTGAACTGGTGAATTGGTTTCAAGCCGACCGGACCTTCATGACTTTCCCATCCAGAACCTGGATGTACAGTATTATACGGATGGTAATAGCTATGTGAAAGAAGGAATTCGCTATGCAGGATAATCGGTAACAACTATAGACAAGGTGATAGAGGCACGGCCACTGTCAAAAGGGACATCAGCACAGAAGGCAGAATTGATTGCACGGGCCTTGCAGTTGGCTGACGGGTTGAAGGTGAACATATATACTGATTCAAAATATGCATTTTTAACCACTCATGCCCATGGAGCCTTGTATAAAGAAAGAGGGTTGTTGAATTCGGAAGGGAAAGAAATCAAGTATGCAGCTGAAATACTTCAACTATTGGAAGCAGTATGGGAGCCAAAGGAGGTCGGTATTATACATTGTAGAGCACATCTGAGAGGCGATAGTGATGTGGTAAAAGGAAATCGCATGGCAGATAGTGCGGCTAAGCATGCTGCTGAATCTGGACAGGAGGAATTTATGGGGTATGTTGCTGCCTTTGTGCTGGCCCCTCTGTCTCAATGGATCCCGATACATACAACTCGAGATGGAGTGGTTGAAGACTGAAGCTGGAAAATATTTGGAAAACAATTGGTATCAGTTAGAAGATGGAAGAATAGTCATTCCGACATCTCTGGCTATAGAGATTGTTCAGAACTTCCACAATGGCACACATACAGGAAGAGATAGTATGGAAGAATCTCTCAGGAAACATTTCTATATACCAAAATTATCCAATCTTACTCAAGCCATTGTTCGAAGATGTGTTCTCTGTACAAAGAACAATGCAAGACAAGGCCCTGTTAAACCTCCTGGGATCCAGTATCTGGGAGGACTCCCCATGTCAGATCTGCAAATAGACTATACAGTAATGTATCCTTACCTGTTGGTACATGTGTGTACCTACTCAGGTTGGGTAGAAGCTTGTCCAACCCGTACGGAAAAAACAGGAGAAGTTGTACGATTCCTGTTGCGAGAAGTCCTACCCAGATATTGACTCCAGTGCTCTATAGGATCAGATAATGGCCCAGCCTTTATTCACCAATGCCTACAACAACTGACTCATATGCTTGGTATTAAGTGGAAACTTCATACAGCATATAGACCTCAGAGTTCTGGGAAGGTGGAAAGGGTGAACAGAACTATAAAGACCCAGTTGGAAAAATGTGTCAAGAGACCCAGCTTAAGTGGAATGTTCTTTTGCCAATAGCTCTTTTGCGCATACGCAGTACTCCTACCAGGAGAATGGGTTTGTTTCCTTTTGAAATTATGTATGGGCGTCCACCTCCTGTACTCAGTAATCTAAGGGAGGATTTGAGTCAGTTGGGTGAAGGAATTACTCGGCAGCAGGTTGTAGAGTTGGGTAGAACTATGGAGGAAATACAGAAATGGGTACAAGATAGGTTACCTGTGAACATACATCCACCTGTTCATTCTTACCATCCAGGAGATCAAGTGTGGATAAAAGAATGAAATAGTGTTCCATTATATCCTAAATGGAGAGGTCCTTATGTTGTTCTTTTGTCCACTCCAACAGCTGTAAACGTGGCAGAAGTGACAATGTGGATTCATCACTCTAGGGTTAAACCAGTGGCAAACTCTTGGCAAGCCACTCCAGACCCTGAAAATCATTGCAGGGTCCGGTTAAAGCGAGTGACTCAGTTGGAGTGAGTGTGAAGTATTGGGACATCGTGGTTGAAAGTACTATTTCTAGACCAGCAAGTAGGTGTTTTGACGGCCATAATAAAGCCTGACCATCTGCCTACGTGTCATAAGCCAGAGTGTCTTGAAGAGATCTCTGTGAAGGAAAGTGAGGATCAGAAGAACGCCAATCCTTGCAGCCCTCACAGTCGGGAAGCTGAGGTGCCGTCGCATGGTCGAAGAGATAAGAGTGAGGATTTCAGGAATAATGAATTTTATTGTGTTTATGTATTGTTATAAATTTTCAGGAAGGAGTACAGATATACAGAATTGTGATAGTTGCATTAAGACTACAAAAACAGGTAATCAAATATCCCAAACTCTTATTTGGCACTCACAGTATGAATGTAAGGGATCTGTATCTAAATGTAGATATTTAGATATTGATTACAGTGTGTGTCACCCAGCAGTAGGAGAGCCTAAATGTTTTGATCCCCAATTCCAACCCCGTACAATTTGGTTGGTAATTCTGAATAGTAACTCTCAGGGCACCTTGATAAATAGGACGGTGATAAATACCATATATTCTACGGGTATTCTATTATGTGATGCATGTAAGGCGATCTCGGGTAGTGGAAAACCTTGGAATGTATGTGGTAATCTAAAGTGGGAACGAATTTATAGGTTCAATTACAAATATTTATGTCCCAGTAAAGATCCTGATTGCCCAAATAGAGATTTTAATTTCTGTCCATATTGGTCTTGTGTGTGGTGGGCAACCTGGGGTAAAACAGTAGACCAAGATATGATTATCCAAAGGTTGCCTACCACACCACATTGTAAATCTATCGAGTGTAATCCGGTCCATATGACCATTTCTAATCCGCAACACTTCATAGACAAGTTCGGAATTCTATTTGGGTTCCAAATATACGGAACAGGGTTGGATCCTGGGGCTATTATATATGTAGGCATTGAAACGGAGACTGTAGCAACCCAGACTCGTCAGGTTTTTCATTCCTTCTATGAGGAGATGAGTGAGGATAAAATTCCCCATAATGTTAAGAAGCTATTTGTACATTTAGCTGAGAGTATTGCGGGTAGTCTTAATGTAACTAACTGTTTGTATGTGGAGGTACTAATATGGGAAACAAAGGAAGCATGGAACCCTGGTTCTGAGACAGATGAACAACAGATACTTTCTCAGTCTGATCATCAAGTAAGTACTAGAGGTAAATCAGAATGGCAGTTAAAAACCTCTATTATAGATCATGTTTGTGTAGCTAGGAAAGGGACACGTCTGTAGGTGAGTTAACATGTTTGGGACAAAAGGCTTATAATGATAATACAAAAGATACTACGTAGTGGTCAGCTTCAAATGTCTCAGAACCTATAAGTCGTTTGCCAATTACACTAATTTGAAGGAGGTATGGTTTGATTTATCTGCTACATCAAAATGGAAAGCCCCAGCAAATCTTTACTGGATTTGTGGTAAGAAGGCATATTCAGAGTTACCACAAGACTGGGAAGGGGCATGTGTACTAGGTATGCTCAAACCATCCTTCTTCTTGTTGCCAATCGAAACAGGAGAGACCTTGGGAATTAAGGTTTATGATGTAAATCATAAAAAGAAGAGAGCATCTTTGAATATAGGTAGCTTGGAAGATGATGAGTGGCCTCCCCAACATATTATTAATTATTATGAACCGGCTACTTGGGCAGAAGATGGTACTTATGGATATAGAACCCCAATATATATGCTCAACCGTATTATAAGATTACAGGCAGTGGTTGAGATTATCACCAGTGAGACAGCTCAAGCGCTCAATCTCCTAGCTAAACATAATACTCGAATGAGATCAGCCATCTATCAAAATAGATTAGCTCTGGACTACTTATTAGCAGTAGAGGGAGGTGTATGCGGGAAGTTTAATCTAAGTAACTGTTGTCTGCACATAGACGATGAAGGGCAGGCAGTGGCTGAATTTACCAGTCACATGGTTAAACTTATGCATGTGCCTACTCAGGTCTGGAGTGGGTATAACCCAAGTAGTTGGTTTGGAAGTTGGTATGAGCAGCTTGGAGGGATTAAGGCATTGGTAGGAGGAGTAGTATTTATTATATTCCTATGTCTCTTTCTGCCCTGATTAATTCCATTAGTGGTTAGGTCCATACGAAGTGTTATAGACAGCACTATTGAGAGGAAGACAGCTGCCCGTGTAATGGCTGTCTGTAGATATGAACCTTTAGCCCAAAGAGAGCATATTCAGGATGGGGAATGCTGAAAGAATATGCTAAAGATCCTTACGAGGTCTGTTCTGGTTCATGGCTACTTGAGAGGTGTTGGCAAATTATGATTGATGATGCATCCGGAATTATTTTATAGCAGAAGCATCAAAGGGGGGAATGTGATGGAATTCCAGTAAAATAGAAGTTTAGTAGGCCAAGATTGCCACGTGGCATATGTAGGTACGTGTGTTTGTAGTATCAGTTAGTTACACATAGCTAAGAGACTGTCATCAATGTACTGAGCATGTGCAGGAATGTAGGAACTGAAATCACACTCCTTTCTCCTTTGTTTCGGAAGAGCCATGTGGTCTGACCGGATGAGCAAGTCCAGACTCTGTTCATTGATTGGTTAAGGGTATGTGTGGGTGTAGCTATTTATCGGAGGAGCTATATTGCTTTATAAGGAATGTACTCCATGTGGGGCTCAGATCTGTTGTGGAACATAAGTCCATCTGAGACCCGATCGGTACGTGAATAAAGGCCTTTACTTCCGGAATACCGGTATCATCTCTCTGTGTTTGGCTTCTGCACACTTCCACGGTTACATTAACATCTACCACTTCAGCTGGAAGGCTGTTCCATGCATCCACTACCCTCTCAGTAAAGTAATACTTCCGGATATTATTTTTAAACCTTTGCCCCTCTAATTTAAGACTATGTCCTCTTGTTGTGGTAGTTTTTCTTCTTTTAAATATAGTCTCCTTTACTGTATTGATTCCCTTTATGTATTTAAATGTTTCTATCATATCCCCCGTCTCGTTTTTTCCTCCAAGCTATACATGTTAAGATCCTTTAACCTCTCCTTGTAAGTTTTATCCTGTACTCCATGAACCAGTATAGTAGCTCTTCTCTGAACGCTCTCCAAAGTATCAATATCTTATGTTGCTTTTTTTTTTACTGGCTCTGTAGTCAGAGAATTTACAAACTGTGCTACCTTACCAGCACTGGAATGGGGGGCTTTCTCTTCCAGACCTGTCACAGTTCAATTCATTTTTAGAGCAAATAAAACATTGATCGTGAAACTCACCTATTGTCCGAAAGTCCCCTTACAAAGTCTTCTTCTTGCTCATCCATCGATCGGTCATTACTCTGTATGGGATCGTCGCCCTGTGTCTGCAAGTATATCTCTCTGATAGATCTGGGCTTCTGCTTATAACTGTAGGATATAATGTGCGTTAATGAGAATAGACACATCACAAGCTGTTCCCTTTCTTGAAAATTAAAACAAATAGTTTATCTTGTAGAGTTGCTTCAATTTTAGCATTTAAATTCATGTGATTGCTTCTTTAAGTTTGTTTCGGCAGGGCCTACTTCACCCGTCCTGTCTTTCAGCATTCATTTAATTATACAATTACTTTCTGTTGTATATCCCCACTGTATAACTGTAAAATAATCTGGCGCTATTTGAACGCTTCGAATAATAAACATACCCCTGCCATTTTTGTTTACTTATTCCCTTATGTATATTCAATAATGGAAACATTTACAAAACAGAGGTAAAATTAATTATTTGTTCTAATTTTACCGTGTTATTTTTATGGTCGCTCCTTTTGTATTACTTGTGAAAAAATTGCATTTAAATTTTTTTTAAATAGCCACAAAAAATAAATAAATTGGGTTTAAATAGCTCAGCTGGCAAAATTCAGCAAAGCATTGTAGTCATAGCTTGGCGTTTTTTAGCCCACATTTTGCAATATAAAGTTTAATTACAATTTGAAGTTTTTTGAGAAACCCAGAGAAAAATTGTGAACAACTGACACAGGAATTTCCCATTTGCCCCAAATAACTGAGCTTTAAACCTGCTGAGATTGCTCCAATTTATCTATTTCAGTCACACCTATTTCACCTTGCAGATCTGCACAACTCCTTTAGTAAATAAAATGTAAATAGCCACAAAAAATAAATAAATTGGGTTTAAATAGCTCAGCTGGCAAAATTCAGCAAAGCAGTTGTAGTCATAGCTTGGCGTTTTTTAGCCCACATTTTGCAATATAAAGTTTAATTACAATTAGAAGTTTTTTGAGAAACCCAGAGAAAAATTGTGAACAACTGACACAGGAATTTCCCATTTTAGCCCCAAATAACTGAGCTTTAAACCTGCTGAGATGAAATGCTCCAATTTATCTATTTCAGTCACACCTATGCAATCACCTTGCAGATCTGCACAACTCCTGGTTTAGTAAATAAAATGTATGCAAGAGCCTGTGTTACAGTCAATTAGGGAGAAAACAAAAAAGTACATTTGTAATACAGAGTACCATGTTGAAAACTCCACACCAGGGATGCCCAAAAGGTAGATCCCAGATGACTTTAAACGTCAAAGCATCATGAAAGCTGTAGTTTTAAAACATCCGGGGGTCTACCTTTTAGAGACCCCTGCTCTACACTATTTATTCCCGAATTGGTTATCTTATTTAAATTTATCAAATACAGTGTTTAGTTAACCACAATTCACAGTTTAGGAAATTAATAATACATTCTTCATAATTTATAAATAGGGCTTATCTAGAGTATCCCACCGCAAAGTCATGATTAAAAAACAAGTATAGACACGTGAACACAAGTAGCTGTATATTTTCCGAAAGCCGACATTGAAACACATTAAAATAATAAGTCGGGTGTAAAGCGCAGCGTACACTGTCAAATAAATGGGATTTTGTTTACTGAACCTCCAATAATCAGTTTCCAAATGTTCCTTCTTTCTTGCATTTTTCAGCCTTGTGACATTGTATGGGTTAATACAATTGTGATGATGAAGATGAAAGGATTTAGGAATGGGCAGAGAAAGTGCAATCGAGAGGGAGAAAGGAGAGAGAATGTCTTCAAACAGATGTCATCGTGACCCAACTCACAAGAGGGTACACTTGGCTCTTATCTCATCTCATAAAGAGAGAATATCATTGGTCGGGCTTATAGCAAAGAATAAACAGGGTTAACAGTCATCGGCAGCATCTGTTTCACTATATTGCTATTGCAATTTATATACAGCTCTGGTTACAATTATACTTTCCGTGTTCACCTCTCCATCCCAACATTCTCCTTAATTTTCCTACCAGGGTATATTGGATAAATATGTTTAATTGGGATTGGGGGTTGCAGGCTATAGAGTTGAATTGTATAATACTGGTGGCACTATTGCATAATTGCTATAGATATTATTAGGCTGCTTAAGTTTTTTTTATTTATTATATTTTTTAGGTATTACATGTATTATGACATTAGGTAAGGACTGATATTACATTTTTACTTATGGTATATTTTATTAATCGCTACTGTTTCTGATCTGAGGCCAACTGTTGCATTGTCTTTGTATGTACACTGCATAGTGATAGTTGAATCTGATCTGATAGATGTCATGGTGCTTTTGAGCTACAACTCCCATAAGGCTAAGGCAGCCATTTGCCTACAGATAATGTCAAGTGTTTCAACACAACAGTAATTTTAGGAACACATGTGAGCCAGCCCTTTCCCTTATTTCAATCCCCTACCAGGTATAGGCAACCTTCGGCACTGCAGATGTTTTGGACTACACCTCCCATGATGCTTTGCCAGTATTATGGGGGATGTAGTCCACAACATCTGGAGTGCCAAAGGTTGCCTACCCCTGCGCCTATGCACATCTTACATGTATATTTGACAGTAGTGAATCCAGGTGGACAAATGCCTCCAACAAGCTATGCATATGTATGTCTGTCCAGTAGCAGGGGCTGACTGATGGACCACCACCCATTTGCACCCAATTGTCTGCATCCACGTTGTTAAAAAAACATATTGTGTGGTGCTTTCATTCTGCATTCTTCAGTCTGCTGCCTATGAAGTGAGATGGGGTATTTAATTTTTTTAGTTGGGCAAGAAATTGGGTAACAGTGATGGTATTATCACAAAAGGTTCATGAAAACATTATTTATATTGTATAATTTGTATACTGTTGTAAGCTTGTTTTTTTTCCTAATTACTTAGCTATTCATTAGACTTAAGTGAATAGGCACTTTTGTACCTCTGTGTATATAGAGCTAGACTTATGCTTGAACGCATCAATGTGTCCTGATTTACTTGTTGAGTCTTTTTTTATTGAATAAGGCTCCACAGGTAAATAATGGACAGATCGATGCATTCGTACCAGCTGAAAAGCATTAAGTCACCAATCTGCTATTCATTATTATTCTATAATGCATTCTGTTTCTGATTAATATCTAAAGGCTTGACAACATACATGGCACAAAGACAGTCCCAATCCCATCTGTGTACACCTTTATCTTTACCCCTAACTCCATATACATAGAGGTACAGAAGCGCCCACCTAATTACTTAAATAGATGGTCTTTCCAACACGCCTATTTTTGCTGAAATGTAATTCTGTCTATTTGCTAAAGAGAGAATAGTGTACAATTAACCTGGAAACTGATTAAAATAGATTAAAATAGCATATTTGTAAATATGGAGTTTGAATTATTATTATTTTTTATTTGTCTATTTTCAATTCAAATTTGCAGTTCAGTTTTCAATTCTTCACATTTTCTGGTTTCGAAAATAAACTGCAGCTTTGAACTAAGTCACTATTTATTGAATAAACCCTTCCAAAAAATATTTGCCTTTGCCGAGACTACTGGTGAAAGCAGTGAGGATGGTACATACCTGTAATTTGGATACAGAATGTCACATTGAACACACCAGCCGAGATGGAGCAGCACAAGGTATAGGGACATGTGCATTGTTCTGAGAAAAAAGGAGATACAAAGCACACAGTCTTAATTTCACATTGAGGGGAAGGGGGTACAATATTTAACATTCCCCATATTTGTTTGCTGAGATAGGTAACTTTAAGTAGCCGTGTAAAATTAAAAACTGTATTATCATGTGTGTGTTGTTCCTTAATCTGCATTTTGTATAAATTTGAGAAGGTTTTGGATAGCAAATGCAATGTCACTTTAATTACAATTTTAATTTGGTATAGAGCAGATATATGATATGCATTGTGAGTATATAAATCTAAGTACTATCACTTTAATTGTTTAGTTTTGACACTCTTTTTTTAAAATTGTGTTTATTATCACTTCAGTTTGCAATATATATATTTATTCACAATGCTCTTACAACAGATTAATTAAATACACTCTAGTGATTTAGCACCAGCATTATTTAATTTGCCTCCTATGCTGGAATTAGTGTAGGACCCACCACCATTGAGGTACTGTGACGTAGTGGTGGGCTTAACATGATATGACCTTATGGTAGAACTGAATCCCCATGATTTTTAGTAGCCTTGTAAAATTTAAAGTTGTGTTTTTGTGTGTGTGCGCTGTTCCTTAATCTGTATTATGTATACATTTTAGTCTCTATGTCAGCAGCTTTGCTGAGAAATGGAGGTAGTAGGTGTACCTCCAATTCCTTTTTTTTTTAAATTTCTTATCTACAGACATTTTTTGTGAGGTGGGAGGAGAGTTAAGTCATAAAGTATAACATTTTAAAATCTTGTCATGTAACAGAGCAATAATTGTATATTCATTGCATTCTGTACCTTTGTGCTGTTTATAGAGTTACTTACGGTCTTTGGGATATTCAATCTTCTTTCCTGTTTCCAAGATTTAGGTTTAGAGTGCGCACTCGATCGCTGGAAGTGCTGAAATATGTGCCGAAGAGCAGGAGAGATTTAGTTTCTCGATATAAAAGAACTTCTTTATATACCCCTTAGGCTGGGGGACTGGAGATAAAAGGAAAGGAGGGGGTGACGTATACGGGGTAATTATCCTCTTACACACTCATCTTGGACAGATCTGTATGTGACAGTGATAGATCTAGATTAGGGCTCAGCGTGTTCATTTCCAGTGCAGAGATACTCCGCATTATTATATAGTGCAGAATGTTCTTGCACATCATCGTGCTCTGGGTCTGTGTATCCACTTTGCTAATTCATCTTTTTCCCTTACTGCAGGCTTGCTTTAACTCATTATACAGAGCATGGATCGTGGTTAATATAAAGCGTTTAATATTATACAGTGAAATATTTCATCGCCAGTATAAAGAAATTCAACAACAATAGGAAATTCATTGTTTTGACTGTTCATAAGAAACTTTCCGCGTTACAGACATGGAAAACCATAGCAGCCCAGATGTTTGTGAATTACACTTGTCATAATGCACAGACATCTGTTTGGCCAGGTTATACCTGACTTTGCTATACGCACACATAAATGAAAACTAAAGAGGCCAACATTTTAACCTCATCAAACATAGGTTCTTCATCACATAGAACAAGCCACATAAAAAAATCCCACCAAAAAATCAGCCTGTAACAGGGAATAGGGGTTGTCAAAGTAGAGAAATATTTACGGAGGACACGCAGCAGTGCAGGCGTTAAAGGAAGAGTCCAAGCCCCTAAAGACAGTCTGCTTGATGAGCTGCTTGAGAGGTTTAATAGCATGTCCTATTTATCTTATTTTATAAAAGTGCTGATTTGACGACACCTCGTTGTAAAACTGACAGCTGGAAGAGTTTCCTTGATGGGAGAGCTAGCAAAGCATGGGAGAGTGGGGGTCAATAGGATGGAGGAGCTGGCAAAAGGGTTGTGGGCTGCAGCCTCAAGGCATTCATCTGAAAAATAAAATACTGTGCGGTGTGTTGAGATGTCTGTTGGCACCGTCCTGCAGGAATAGAAGAAGGCAGTTATTGTGCAGGGCGTTTGCTAACGGACACTGTGTGGATTGTGCATGGCTTGGAGCCCTGTGCTCTCAATGCTTTCCAGGCCTGGAACGGGGTATTTCTGGGTGGCCACAGGTACCAGAGACTGCCAGACTACTATAAATATGTACAATATCCCTGCAAGTGCTTACAGGTAATTGCACATCAGTAATGACATTCGTAACACACTCCAGTTGTCAATGGTGGCAACGGATACACAGAAAAAGAGTCTGTAACTCATAGGTGTGTACAGATTTATATGAAAGTTAATTCCTACTGTGCAGGTCAAACTGAATGAGGGTATATAAGATGGCACACCTTGGACCTCCAGCAGCCTCCATCTTTCAATCCAGCTCCATGTGTGTATATGAGATCTGCTCCACGTGTGTAGACCATCCACACTGAGATCTGCTCCACGTGTGTAGACCATCCACACTGAGATCTGCTCCACGTGTGTAGACCATCCACACTGAGATCTGCTCCACGTGTGTAGACCATCCACACTGAGATCTGCTCCACGTGTGTAGACCATCCACACTGAGATCTGCTCCACGTGTGTAGACCATCCACACTGAGATCTGCTCCACGTGTGTAGACCATCCACACTGAGATCTGCTCCACGTGTGTAGACCATCCACACTGAGATCTGCTCCACGTGTGTAGACCATCCACACTGAGATCTGCTCCACGTGTGTAGACCATCCACACTGAGATCTGCTCCACGTGTGTAGACCATCCACACTGAGATCTGCTCCACGTGTGTAGACCATCCACACTGAGATATGCTCTATGTGTGAAGACATCCACACTGAGGATTGCAGCAAATACTGTGCATGGGCCTTGTGTCCAAATGATTCTCTGTTGGGTTGGCCAGGAAGCCATCACTAGTGGTAATCACTAGACGATCTTGCCACTCAATTCGATGTAAGAAACAGATTCTTTTTTTTAATACACTGGCCCTAAATCTAAAATAATGAAGAACAATCCAGCATTAAAAAAAAATATTTTGTTCTAACTATTGAATGACCCTTTTATTAAGGTTGACCACAAACCCCTATTTTCATCAAGAAGGAATGAATGTCCGGGTCACTTAAAAGCATTCTGTACAGATATTTCTGTGTACAGTCTTTCTGCCAGGATAATAGAGGATGACCTTACGGTCCAAGCAAATAGTGCAGGTGTATGTATGTAAGCATGGCTTCTGACAGCTTTTGATATACTTTGAGTGCATTTGCTTTGATGTAACTGAAGTTTTCCCTTTGGTCTTGATGAGATAAAGGTCAATGGTGGTTCCACGACAGTGAGTGCTGGTTAACAGTATACATAAAAATTCCCTTTGACTATAGCACATGGGATAAAAGGGATAAAATACTTCATATAGGCAGGAAAATAGGGTGTATCGGTTTACTGAATAAATAGAAATAAAACGGGCAGAAGATTCTCATTAGTATGGTTTATTTCTGAATGTGTTGTTTAATCTAGGTAATTATTCTGTCACCTTCCAGGAGTTTATCCATAATGTTTTCAGAGGAGATTTGCAGCAAAAGGAGATACATTATAATTCTAGTTAATAAAATCGACTACCCACTGAAGACTTTTTAAGCTGGTCCTACCGAGACTTTGTGAGCACAATCTATATACAGAGTGAAAGAATTGTATCTTTGAGAAACACATAGAGGCTTCCTCTGGTTATATCATGATGGCCAAGGATTACAAGTTGGATACAAAGAAACTTTAAACTATTATCCGGTGTCCGTGGCCTATAAGACTACCATATCTGTAGTAGTTTTTCAAATTTATAAATTATTTTAGATGGTCTGTACAGAATTATCCTGATATACTTTCTGCATTCAGTAGGTCTTCTGAGGGTGAGTACAATGAAATCAATTAAGGATGTATCCACTTTCTCTAAGCCTCTTTTCTAGTTCACCAGGATTCACATTAATTATTTACAATAAAGGTGAATTGCTCTGAGTTAGGAGCTGGGACAGTACCCTTTTGGCATGAAGAGCATTGCAGTCTTCTTTAACCTTGTGCTACTACCTGTCAGAGCATAACAATGGCATTAGTAATAGGGGACTACTGTACCTAGTCATGGCTTTGGTAGAGTGAAGACATTAGTTAGGGAGTAATTGTGTGTCAGTCACTGTACACATGGACTTCAGTTTTACCAATTGTACTTTAGTTGAGCTAAATGACCCAATGTCAGAAAATGGATTCTGATGGATTCTGCTCTTGCCAATGCAGAACACAAAATGCTGTAACCTATAATATCTCATTCTAGCCTCTATCACTACTGGTTTGGAATCCCAAGTAACCACTCTAACATCAGACAAGCACGATACACTATAAACCTAATCTACTTTATATCATCATATCTCTCCGTTTCATGGTCATCTGAGACACTGCTTTACTCCTGAAACCTATCTCCTACCTCCTGGAACTATCTGGTGGTCTTAAACGAAGAAGGACGTCTTTGACGTTCTGGCAGTCTGTGTTCTTACCTCGTTCTTTACCCTTGGGTTACTAAAATTACTGCTCATGGATGAAGTTTATAGTTGAAATTCAATCCTCAGAGCGCCTAAGTACAGAGGTTATATGGAGATCACCATCTTAGTGATCAGTTATGGTACATAATCAGCACCCTTGAGCTGCCATCTTCCTACATGTGGCCAACGTAACCTTGCCACTGGTTCTTGGAGGGGCCTGTTGGCCAGCCTCCTACCCTGTGACTATGGCCCCTGTGTTAAACCCTATTTGAAAACATTATTTGTGCCTGTTGGGACTGGTAGCAGGAACCATTCGAACTTTCGAAGCGGCACTTCAAACTTCCGAACTCCCGAAGCCTTTTGAAGTGGCATTCGAACACGTGGCGGTGATCATCTTGTTTAGTCGAACACATCCAGCGGTGTTTGGTTGTCAAGTGCATGGAACTCAAATCGGCCACTCAACAGCACGAACACCGCTTACTATCTATCTTCCATGGATGTTCGGCTATTCGAACAGGAGTCGAACGGCGTTCGGTAAGAAGAAACTCCCGAACAAGAGACATACACTGACTTTATTCACGAACGGCTACGTTTGATATTTTGAATGTTATTTCGAATCCTTGAAGTAGACCGGCCGCGCAGCCTGATTCTCTGGAACTGTTTTGGGCATGAAACCATGCGTGCAGTCAGTCAAAATAAAACTTCCATCGAATTCCTGAACCCCTAAACTGATCTGGGTGATTTTTGGATATGTTGGTCACTCAGATCAGGGCTATCAGGGGATGTAATAATTGTGGGGATTTTATGTGTTTTTGGGATACTTTTGGGGTTTTGTAAAATGTGGTTTTTTTCTGCCTGGAGATAATTGGGTATCTGACTCAATTATCGCCCAGGCAGAGGGGAGGGATTGAATGCCATGTGTGGGAGTGCATTACATTGTATATGTGTTATTATTGGTTTGTAAGTTTGTGTCCCTGTCGCCAACAGGGTCTATGTGGGCGTACCCCTTGCTTGGGGACTTGCATAAAGGCCATTGTGGCACCATTAAAATCAGTTCCTCTTCACCCTCAACATACAGTCTCACGTTATGTGTGGAGGGAACAGCTATATTCACACTGGCGATTGCTATACTCCTTATACTCCCCTGGATTCTAATCACTAGCTCTTATAAGAGCTGTTCCTGCTACGCTCTCTGGAGTAGGAGAGGTTCACCCACGGAAAGCTCGATCCTGGTCTTGGGTCCAGGGTGGGTGGAGGACGGCAAGACACCAACTAAACTGCAGCGGTTCGTGGGGGTCTACAGTGCTTATGGTGTCTGGTGGAGTGCTTGGAGTCCTCGGTAAGCACTAGGAGCATCGACTGATGGAGGCACCCAGTCGTGGTGCCAAGCGGTCCATCACACTACACGTGTGTTAATAGTCAAAACGAGTATGAAATACAGAGTATAACGACTGTGTTATATGATTGTCTTTCAGTAATTGTCGAGATATGATCTGAGGAATAGGACTGTGTAACTGTCTTTGACGTACATACTATCCTCTTGGTCTAAAGGTTTCATGTTACCTTTTCTGACCTGGTGGCCTGGGGTAGCTTATTCTTCCAATATGATGCCCCAGAATGTACTTTATGTGCATCTGCCTGTTTATCTGTTTATATATTCACTATCTACTGCCTGCTGAATCTATGTATGTCCTTACTCTATGTGGGCACGGTGGGCACTTCGATTTTCCAGCCAAAACAATTGCAACATACTCCTATGCATCACGTTTGCTCCATTCTTATATCTCCTTGAATAGGCACAGGTTAAGCAGCAGTCAGAAGCCTTCATAAGCTCTTGTCTCTGTAGCCACCTTGTCCTTTGTTGATTTAGCTTCTGGAGTTCTGTCTCTAATTGTTCTGATTTTCTGTTGGGACCCGGTTTGCTGTACTAGATTTTATATAAATTTTCTCTTCATGTCCTCCTTTCACAAATAAATAAATGGAATTAATGCATAGCAAAAAAAAAAAGTACATCAACATTTGTCAAAAAAAAAAAAAAAAAAAAGGCAAATAGTGCCCTGCCTAGCCACTCTCCTTCCTAAATCTCATTGTCTGTCCTCTCCTGCAGTCTCCTTGGAGAAGGACGGGGATGACTATTGACTCACTAATATTTCTTTACTTTAAAAAAAACACTTAATTTAAGGGCAGTCAGCAGTACAACCATGCTCCGCAACGGTAGTGTTTATGGAATACTTTACATTAAATTTTGTGTCTTGTCTGCTTTTTTTAAGATAGAAAAAAAAGGCATGACTAATGCCCTAGGCAATTGGTCAGGGATCAAAGTCTGCGCTGGCTCTAGTAAAAAATACCATGAGAAACAAATCTTCTGAAAAGCTGGCAATGTGTTCCTAACCTGTGCTTTCAATATATCCATTAAGTGTGTGTGTTTCAAAATGACCTGTGTCACAGAGGGGGAATATTGCTCTGCATCCAGAATTGAGCCAGGGCTCATCTAGCTGTTGGGGAACTTTTACTTACTAGCTTCTGTTCTCTTGAAAAACTAAATGTCTAGATAGGAGATGAGCTCAGTGATCCGGGGTTAGTGGTCCATGAAAGATGCTGCTGGCTACCAATGTACAGATTTCTCCTCATAACCTAGTGACCTTGGGGTAACACCACCACATGTGCATAAAGTGCCTTGGCCTCCACACAAGAGCCAACAGCTGTCTGAAGCGGATCTATCCATAAAGAAACCCCCAAAAAACAGCATTTGGACTGGTGTGAGGTACCACCGAAAAGGCATTTTATATGATTGCTCCTGGAGTGACACAAACACACAGGTTTTTTACAGCAAGCCTCCCAGATCTCCTCTCAGTACCCTCCCTCCAGCTCCTCTCCCAGGTCGGCATCCAATTGTTCCACATATGTAAGTCTTTTCCATTTACTGTAAGTTATCCCTGTGTGGTTTCCTTCAAGTAATTTAAAAAAAAAAGAAGGTTAAGCTGGTGGTGGGGACTTGCTTCACAGTGGCTTGTTGTGCAAAATCTGTGATTTGTAAATGTAAAAAATACTCAGCCGGAGTCAAGTTTACATTTTGTTGGAGTTCAGAAAAACTGTCAAGCGATTGATTATTATACAAATGTAAGTATCTCAGCCCTCATGCCTGGTAGGATGGCTTTATTTCGTAGCATGAGGGTATTTGTAACCCCCCCCGTGTCACAGATTTGAAGAGAATTTGTGTGGTGCGAAGCAGCAACATTTGTGGCCTTGGAACGCAAATTTAAAACTGGGAATCTTCACCCATGAAGAAAGACTCACAGGACTCACAAATATTTCTAACTAGGCCTGTAGACAGTTTAGTAATTAGACGCCAGGTGCTATCACGCTGGCACGTGTAAACAAATACGATTTTTAAAAAAGTGGCTTTAGAAGTATTAAAACTAAACGTTGACCATTTGACCACAGCTCTCTTATCCCTATCATGTGAATGAACCTTGTATTCTTTAAAATACCGTATAGATTCAGAAGTAAAAGATGTCAATTCGCAACATAGCTTACTCTGTCCAAATATTCTAGGAATTCGGAACTGATTGCCAAGCAAGGATATGCTGATGGATACAACGGGTATCGCCTACATTTGATACTATTTTGGCAAAGCAAAACATGAATGGATTTATTCATTGACAGCAACAAAGGAAGTTGTATAAAGAATAATCACGCATGTCATTTTTAGTTAAGAAAGATTTTTGTTTTACATTACCGGCTATGTAACTTCATATAGGATTAATGCATTGCTCTACAAGCTAAGTTATTTAAACTACATTAGCACAGCTAGGGATAGAATAAATCTCTATGGGCAATATGCAGCTTGCCAGCGCCATCTGCTGATCACTAAGATTATCAATCATACATAGAATGAAGACATGGGGGAAGAAGGGCTAATTTTGATAACAAAGGATTTAGATACCAAATAATTTAGAAGGGTATTTCAGTCTTTCACAATTCCCCATTTCATGAATAATCCCTTCAAATTGTACAAAGAAAAGAGGGAGAGCAGGAAAACAGGATTAAGATAGAATATCCTAAGGAGTGGGGTTCCCTACTGGTAACAGGAACCGAAATAGGGTACATGCAAGAACATAAAGTGTAACCTCTTCGTTGGTATTAAAACTTAACTTTTAATAGGATAATGAATAAATGAGGTGAAAAACACCACCAAGCAGACGTGTATTTAAATTAAGTGTACAAATAAAAACAACACTTGTCTGAGACTAACAGCAAGATAACCAGCATAGTTTGGGGATTGTTATCTAAACTGTGCGTCAGTTTCAAATAATATCTGGGAAAGAGAATGCCCACTATTTACTGATAAGAAAAAAGTCTCAACAGGGTTGGGTCAGCACATGTCTGAGACTAACAACAAGTAGAAGCACAATCAGGTATGTGGATTACTGTCTAAACTGTGCGTCGAGACTACGGTTAAAGACAATGTAAAGAGAGCGATATGTCCTTTAGTAAGTTTAAAGGGAAGTCTCAGCAAGGTGAAAATACGTGTATAATGGATCTCTAACAGGAGCCCGTAATGCTCGTCTGATAGTGTCTAAGGAGTGCAGTATATGCACAGTGGTTAATGCTAGTCGAATAGCATCTAAGGGGTGCAATATATGCACAGTAGAATCATCTGATGAATATGTGGTAAAGGTATAACGCAATGAATATACAGGATTACAGGACACTATAGGGAGAAGGGGAGGAATCTATAAGGCTACTAATAAGGTGAATAAAAGAGAGGTTAATAGCTGGAATAGCTATGGTGTGATCCATAAGATAAGGTGTCTTCGATCAACTGTGCCTTCGAGGGCACCCCTTAAGAAAATGCCTGATTTGCCCACTAACAATGGGTAAAAAAACCTTCCCTCCAAAACCCTGCAGGAGTGCGCGGGAATAGAGATCCAACCTAGGTGTCCACGCAAATCTTAGCAGTGTGGCTAATAGCCTTCCCAGGTATAAGTCACAATAAAAGAACCGCTGCTCCCAGCCTAGCTGCTCTAATAGTAGCGGCGTCTGGTAACAAAGCTAGGTGCAGGAAGTTAGACAATCAAAGAACTCGCTCCTAACTAAACCGCTGATGTTGTAGCGGCGACTGGTATCTAAGCTAGGAGCGAGTTCTTTGATTGTCTAACTTCCTGCACCCAGCTTCGTTACCAGACGCCGCTTCTATTAGAGCAGCTAGGCTGGGAGCAGCGGTTCTTTTATTATAAGACTTATACCTGGGAAGGCTATTAGCCACACCACTAAGATTTGTATGGACACCTAGGTTGGATCTCTATTCCAGCGCACTCCTACAGGGTTTTGGAGGGAGGTTTTTCACCCCTTGTTAGTGGGCAAACCAGGCATTTTCTTAAGGGGTGCCCACATTGATAGGGCACCTTATCTTAGGACTCACACCATAGCTATTTCAGCTATTTACCTCTCGTTTTTTTTGCCTTATTGGTAGCCTTATAGATTCCTCCCCTTCTCCCTATAGCGTCCTGTAATCCTGTATATTCATTGCGTTATACTTTTACCACATATTCATCAGATGAATCTACTGTGCATATCTTGCTCCGCTTAGATGCTATTCGACTAGCATTAACCACTGTGCATATACTGTACTCCTTAGACGCTATCAGACGAGCATTACGGGCTCCTGTTAGAGATCCATTATACACGTATTTTCACCTTGCTGAGACTGCCCTTTACACTTACTACAGGACATATCGCTCTCTTTACATTGTCTTTAACCGTAGTCTCGACGCACAGTTTAGACAGTAATCCACATACCTGATTGTGTTTCTACTTGTTGTTAGTCTCAGACATGTGCTGACCCAACCCTGTTGAGACTTTTTTCTTACCAGAAAATAGTGGGCATTCTCTTTCCCAGATATTATTTGAAACCGTAGCGACGCACAGTTTAGATAACAATCCCCAAACTATGCTGGTTATCTTGCTGTTAGTCTCAGACAAGTGTTGTTTTTATTTGTACACTTAATTTAAATATACGTCTGCTTGGTGGTGTTTTTCACCTCATTTATTCATTATCCTATTAAAAGTTAAGTTTTAATACCAACGAAGAGGTTACACTTTATGTACCCTATTTCGTTTCCCGTTACCAGTAGGGAACCCCACTCCTTAGGATATTCTATTTTAATCCTGTTTCTCCTGCGCTCCCTCTTTTCTGTGTGCATTATTAGTGAATTTTCTTCCTAGGGGTTAACACCCACTAAGGAGAAAAGTTATTTGGTACATTCTCTCCTTTTGACTAACCCTTCAAATTGTATTTAGTTTGGTGCACACTTGCTATCTCAGTGTTTTAATCGGGAATGGTTAATAAATAACTGATACTTTAGGCTAAGGTAGATTTCAGTCAAGCTTAGGCAACAACATTATACAGTACTACGCCTGTCCTGCTAACCACCAACACGATGCACACATATTTGTTTTTGAAGAAGGATGGATCAGGCAACCATAAGTGTGCATCACAATATAAACCCAAGTGTCCCTACTTATGAGGGGCAGTCCCTATTTTGTGCCCAAATCACTCTGTCCCTCTTTTCTATCCAATTGTCCCTCTTTTCTAGGAGCTCAATATTGTTGGTGTGTCTGACTGTGTATCACAGAGCTCCACAGCAATAATACTCAAAATAATGTGTCTTTAAACTATAATAAATGTGTTTAGAAATCATTCAGTGTAAAGAAGATACATTGTTCTTGTTCTAAATTACATTTCAGTTGGATAGTTATTAGTAAGTTACCAAATATTTCTCAGAACTGTCCCCCCACCCCTCTAAAATTTAAATGTCCCATTTAAAATGATGTAGTTGTGGAACATGGTTAGCATTTTTTATTTTGGATAAATATTTTACAATAAATCTGAAAATAATGGACAATAACAAATAATAATAATAAAAAATAAAAAAATAAAAAAAACAACCTTCTCCATTATAAGCTATATTGTATCTTCCATTTCTTTATTTAATGGGACTAGTAAGATAAAGTATTAAACACTGGAGTCACGCTGCAGCTGGGTGTGCATGTCTCCATTACACTAGGCGTGTCTGGTGTTTAGAACGCAGAGGATACATTGTAACAAGCAAAGCGTTCTCGGTTGCTAAGGCTGTGGATTGCGTCAGATCCAGTCTGTAGGAGAACCACTTCCGGTTTCCAGCTGTGGATTCCTATTGTCTGTGAGTTGGTGATAACTCTCTCATTAACCCTCCAATGACCAGTCCAGGCACCCTTTACCCTTCAATGCCAGCTTTCACATTACATAATTAGTGCATGTTATCAGTTGCTATAGAAACCCCTTCTTAGTACCCCAGCTACCCACACCTTGTTTCAGCAACACACTTGATTAACCTCCATATTTCCAGTTGATCAGGTTAATGGGCTGCACATGACTTGTGCTGTCCTACTGTATGTAGAATTTATATGTTGTATTTAGTATTACTATGCTGTATGTAGAATGCATATGCTGTATTTAATATTACTATGCTGTATGTAGAATTTATATACTGTATTTAGTATTACTATACTGTACGTAGAATTCATATGCTGTATGTAGCATTGACATGCTGCAGGATTCCTGTCTTCATTTCCTACATGCACTCTTTTTGAATTAAACATACAACAGGGCAGCACCTTTCCTGTGTTGCTCATCAAAATGTGCAAGTGAGATGTATCCGGGAATATCGCTAACAATGTGGAAGCAATGAATTCTGAACTCTCTGTAACCCATCCCTAATATTTAAACTTATGTCAAACTCTTTATAAACTTGCACAATCAAAGCGCTACCTGTTTTATAAATTAAATATGTATTTGAGGGGCGCTTTATATCACATTGTTTCTCACAACTTATTAATCCAGATCTATTTATATTCCTATTATTTTTAGTTTCTTGCGTCAATAATATAAACTGTAGCGCTGATACACATAACCGTTGGCACTTCAGCAGTTGTGAATTACATTTTCTTTTGTCTGGCTCAGAATCATGGGAAATGTAGTCAGCAGTTGCACTGCAAAAGGTTGCCATCACACGTATCTGTGATGGGAAGCGTGCATGCTACTGTTTGACAGCAACTAATTGTTTCACTGTTTGATATTTGTAATGTAGGATCCTCCTGCATCATGGCAGAACCTTTGGACCTCTCCCCACCAGACATCCCAGAACCAAGCTTTTTGGAGATGCTACTCCGCTATGGCCTTTTTTGTGGAGCCATTTTCCAGCTGATCTGCATATTGGCCATTATCTTTCCAGGAAGCAAAACACAGGATGTGGTAAGACATGAATTGGGTATTTTATCCTTTATGGGATTACGTTAGTCTGAGTCAGACATAAAACCGCATTTTTTTTTTTTTTTTATGCAATATGTGAGACTATATTCTACTTCAGTAATTCTATAAAATAACATAGGGGCTTTTAATTCCTTTTCTTTCAGGCCTATGTACACTGAGAGCGAGCACCTGCCATGCAGTGTTTAGCTAATGTATTCAATGCCTGATTAAGGATAAGGTACTTGTTTGTTTTACCACAAACATTGCATTATGTTCTCCAGGATAGATTTAAGTGCAGTGGTAATGGTTTGATAGTCTTGTGTGCTAATCTAAAGTGCAGTTACACAGCCTACAGAGATCACAACAGACAATGGCAATGGTCTGTGAGAAGACCGGGGAATTCATGTGAACTATGAAGACATTTCATTTTGTCAGTGTCCTAATTTATTACCATTTATCATTTCAGTTTTATATTTTGTTCCCTATTTTGTATGCAGTAGGATATTGTATTCAGATTCATTATTGATCCATCTGAGGCAGTTATGAAACCACACCTTGATCTAATCCTCAAATGAGTCATTTGGCATCACACAGAGAGATGAAGATATAAAGTTCATATATTCTGTATAAAAGCTGTTCATGTCTTTTTCCAGAATACTATATGTGGTGTGACGGAAATGTAGCCAATAAAACCAGGGATGTAAAATGTTATATTAAGCTGTTCTAGAGTTAAAGGGATACTATAGTCAACAGAGCAACTACAGCTTATTGTATTTGTTATTGCGAGTATAATCAGTGCCTGTAGGCTTTTTGTTATAAACACTGTCTTTTTAGAGAAAAGACAGTGTTTACATTACAGTTTAGGAACATCTCTTATGGCCACTTCCCAGACAGCCAGTAGAGGTGCTTCCTGGTCATTGCTGCACAATGTGCAGCACTGACGTTCAGTGTCTCCACGCTCTTCATGGAGGCGCTGACCGTTCCCCACAGAGATGCACTGATTCAGTGCATCTCTATGAAGAGATTATGCTTGGCCAGGGTGGCGTACCCACGCGGTGCTGGAGATAAGGTGAGTTTTGACCATATTTCAGGGATAGCAGGGTGGACAGGGTAGCTAAATAGTGTTGCTAACACTGTAGGGTCAGGAATACACATTTCTGTTCCTGACTGTATAGTGTTCCTTTAAGTACCTGGGATTATTTGGTAAATCACCTCTGTTGGCGTAGGAAAATTAATCTCAAATAATGGTCAACTTTGACTCAATGCATTCAATGTCAAATGCAGAGATATGGCATAGTCTACAGTGTTTCAAAAATATTGAGGGAAATGACATCTACCAAAAATATGGAATCCACTCGTCAAGGTGCAGGATTCAGGCAAACACTGATATTTGGGCACAATTACTAACACAATTACGACCAACTTCCAACAACAATTTTAGGTCCATCACAGAAACCTGATGACTAGATTCTGATATTCCCCACTCAGAGACCCACCATGCAGAGGTGTTTCAGCTCCTAGTTTGACGTTAAGATTTAATTTACTTGCCAAACATTTAAACTTTTTTTTATATCTATATGTGCTACTACTCAGATTTCCATTGGGTGGGAAGTAAATTTGTTGGTCTACTTTATTAAAAAATCACCTCGTATTTCATCTACCAAATATGCAGAAATGGCATAAACTACTCAAAATGTCCATCAGTCTCTAAATTGCTCCGTAATCAGCTACCTTCTAATGTAGTTTTCTAACATTTTCCAGTGTTATGCGATGATTTGTGATTTATACAGAATTGTGTGTACTACATACTTATATTAATGTCAATAACCTATTGAATGTCTCTGAAAACACCCGTAAACAATGATTTAGCCAACACTTTACTTAGTCTACCTCAATACAAAAAGAAAGCAGCCCGATCCTCCTTTTCCTACAGAGCGCCTCAATTATGGAACGACCTTCCGCACACTTTCAAATCTTCCCCAGGCCTAAAATAATTTAAGAGATCCCTCTCTACATATCTCAAAACAGAATGCACCGGTCATGGTTCATTTTATATTTCCTACCTGTTCTATGTTAAATTTGGTATATGTTGTGTATTAATATTGTTTTTGTATTTTATTGTATGCAATGATTTGTGGACCCAGGACATACTTGAAAATGAGAGAAATCTCAATGTATCCTTCCTGGTAAAATATTTCATAACTAAATAAATATAATAGAAAATATCAGGACTCTGAATTTCCCCTTGCCCAAAAACCATTTACATGTGGGAATTTAGGCCTGGTAGTGTGCTATGATTTGCCACCCCAACAGCCTGTCAAGGTCATTAGTGCTGTTTGCAAGCAGAGAGTTTTTCTAACAATAGCCCCACAGCTGATGGAGTAGTGTTAAACTATGGGATTGAGCAGCTGCATGCTTGTAGAATAGGTAAGAAGAAACTTTTAAGAATCACCCCTACTACTGTTTAAAACTCCACACAGAGTGTGAAAATCTTTGTGGTGTTTCTGGCAGTCATGGTGTAGGGGGTAGTTCAAAGGCTACAGCAAATAGCCTGCGTGTTTCCGAGGCAGGCTGACATTGGTAGAGAGATCAAGAGTAAGTTCCTCTCTTTTCCGATTCAAACACATGGATTGCAGGTGTATCTCAGCCAAATTGCAAACCCATAGCTAAAAGGTTATTCTCTTTTCTTACTTTGTCTATGCTGCTAGGTTATCGATGGGAAGCATGTGACAATTCGATAGGGTTTATCTTCTAATGGGTGAATCATTTGGGGGCATTATCTAGAGTTCACATTGCAGAATGAAGTTAGATGTGGTGAGTAACACTTAAGCCTGGCTAGTAGAATGGTTCTGAAATTCCCAACCTTACTTTGTATAATCACTTTCCTTAGCAATTATAAACCTGTGTCTGTTAGTAATTCTTCCATGAATCAAAGACTAGGGCTGGCAGGCCCAGGTGCCAAGAAGTGTCAGTACATTTGGAATAATGTACAGACCAGACTCAGAAATTAGATGAATTTTAATTCGTTAAAATGATTTGTCCACTCTACTGGGTAAACTACTGTCAGAGACTAATTATATTAAGTGATAATTCCTTTTACCTTCCAGGACACTGATTCTACTGAAACCAAAGTCTCAGAGGTGATCAGAAAACCCAAAATGCCAGCAGTGCCCACTGGTAAAAAACAAAAGAAGGAAACAAAGAAGAAGAGGTGAGAAAAGGGACAGCAAAAGCCAGCCTCTCCTACTACCCATCAAGGCCGTATGCACCTCCACTGCTATTTCCTGCGGCTCATTTACAGCACTTCTTTTTATTTGCATTTTTCTACAGTTTTTGTACTGCATAGCATACCAGACAGACTCGATTCATGGTTTATTGTACATGATACAAACTTATTGACCTGTAAAATATCAGTATAAAGTATTGGTGTTTTTTTTGTGTGTAATACTGAACATAACATTTTGCTCTGCTGATTGTAATACCTGTACACGCTGACTATGCATGGTGAGTATTATACAAACATATCTGTGTTGTATTTGAAATGGATTGTGCCGAACAGATGTAACATTAAATAAATACTCTAGAACAGTTATATAGCTAAGATTGACAAAGAAGATTTATTTATTTTTTTGTCATTGAATTATTCTTTCTATGTAGTTTCCCATTCTTGAATGCCATTAACTACATAAAATGAACATTCTTACTGTGAGTGTTTGGAACTTAAAGTGGCTCTATCACCATATGGGGTCTTTTACATATTTTGCAAAGACCTCCAATGGTGACTGCTTCTCTTGCAGTGCGTGGGCCCATCAGTGCATTGGAAGGTAAGGTTTACCGACCTGAAGCTGCCCCATCTGTATCTAATGATCCTTCTTCAGCTTTTCATCTGACAAGAGGCAACATCTCATGCTTGTGCAAGACCAAGACCCAGGGTTCTTCAAAGGATACCTCGAGATCGTGGAGGCTTTCATAGACAATGCACTTTCCCCCTACAATTGTCAATAGTGACATCTGGGGGAAATTACAAAACTTGGCAGTGGTACCTCGACCTTTTGTCATGTTTTGACAGGCAAAAAGATATCGTAGTCCATAGATTGTCTTATGATATGTTTTGTTTTAAATATGTTTATTGTCATCAATATAAACACGGGTGTTGAACTTGGTATTATTAATGCATATAGATGCCTACCAAGAGGCGTGCATATTGAAAGTGTACATAATGTGAGGCCGACATATTCCAGTTAGCTCAGAGTAACACATAGTTGCCTGCGCAGAGGCGTAGAAGTCAAAATAAACACGCAATGACAAATATTAGATATTCATAAGCCTTGCAAAGCTAGACATGCAGAAGGCGGTGAGCTTGCTTGGTACTGCGTTGTTAGGGCGTTGTTGTCAGGTATGTAGTGGCAATTAGGGGTGGCAGTTAGTAACATGTATTCAGCTATCAACTCATTGAATGGTGCTCGTTAATGGGTGTTTTCATTAAGGTGCGTCTCGCACATTTTGCCGTTAGGTATGCGACATGGACTGATGTGTTATAGGCTCTCCCCTGCGGGGGTGTGGTCTCAGGTGCTCTGGGTATGGGATCCAGTCGTTGAGTCAGCGGTTTTAAGCAGTGTAGCACTAATGTCATGTAGCCTTGCGTGTGATGTGTCACGGCCCTTGTCCGTGAACTTTAGCTCTTAAGGGTACCATAGATTTACATTCCACACTTTATATTTAACTGACGACTTCCTTATTTGGGGAGTGCACTGTGGGTGACATATTTTAACAATACACTGTTTTCTTCTGAGATGCCTGTGTTTGCGTATTTATCCCTGTTGCCATATACTGCAGTGAAGGCCCATCTTGCGAAAATGAGTTAGTGTTTGTGCGCTCTGGCCTTTTGTTATGATATGTTTTGATTGCATTGTAAGTTTAGTGAAGTTCCACCACAGTCAATGGTTTTCATAATGATTTCATCTAGGTGGAGAGGTAACAAAGGTGTTTAAAAAATGGATTACATTTAAAAAAAAATAAAAACTACATACCACAACTAATTAATGCACATACATAAATGCTGTGCGACTTGCCTGATGCATTGTAAGCAGGGTAAGGGTATACCTTTGTGTTGCAAGTTAGCCACAAACCATTATTTCTTTTCTGTGAATTGAGAATTAGCATGTCAAATTTATTACAAAACTACACGATAAAAAATATTTTACAACTTTGATTTTCCAATATATATTTTTTTTATCTCATTTTATCAAAGTCACTACAATCTCCCTTTTGTGAAATAGATCGCCAATATTTTTTTTTATTTTTTAAATATACAGTAATCTGTTGCCTTAGGATAATGGGAACTGTTGGTTGTCCGTGTTTGGCTACGGGGTTATTCTATAATGTTTAAATGTTCAAGTCCCTATTATAGATGTACTATATTCACTATATGGTATGTTGTTTGTTTGTTTTTTTTATCTGAGGGTGAAAAGGTTTGTGAAAACACTAATATTAAATATTTCAATCCATAATTGATTTTGGAACAGATTAGAAATCCTGAGCAACTTAATGATTGACAAACATCTGACCAGGCACGGCCCAGATCTATTCTGCGGAGACCGTCAAGCCGTAAGCATCTACTTTGAAACAAGATAGAATTTGAAGTCAACCCCTCATTAAGTATAAACAGTGCTCTGTAGGTTATTGCGTGGGATTCATTATGATGGAGCACATGACTAAACAAAATCCACTAATCTTCAGTGAACCTCAATCATAAGGAAGGATTTATTGTGTAAGACTTCACGTGCCCAGCTTTGGCCAAGTAGGATGAAGTCTGAAAGCTCCAATGAAGTCACCACTTCAGGAGCACACGTCCCAGAAACAGGCTAATATGATGGGCATTGTTGAAAAAAAATAAAACACAAGAGAGTTAGACTCACCTGGAGTGACATTCCAAGTGCTGTAAGTCACATTAAAAGTAAGGATATAATGAGATTTCTTTTTTTTAAATCAATGATATAGGTTGTGGGAGAGATTCATACATATTTATTTAATTGTTTTTGGGTTCCATGAGTTAGCTATGATACAAGGGCAGACTTTAAGACAAGTTACGTAATGGAATGTTAAGTCTCTGAGGAGAACTTGCTGTAATTATAAAGGATTATAGGATGTCAAATAGCGCAATAAGTGGATACACTGTGCACTATAACCACTGAAGCTTAGTGTAAGGGTTCAAGTACAATGGATCTTTGGGTGCAGTCTGTCCAAATTTTGTTAAACTGTTTTCAAGCAGTTTCATAAGTAATTGTACTCTGGCTGCACCAAATTCTAATCCTGACCCTTCCCTGCAATCTAAATGTTAACAGAAATGATAGGCTATAGCAGGGGTGTCCAAAAGGTAGATCCCAAGATGTAGAACTACAATTCCCATGATGCTTTGCATGTTTTTGGGATGCCTTTAAAATGGCAAAGCATCATGGCAGCTGTAGTTTTAAAATATCTGGGGATCTACCTTTGGGGCACCCATGGGCTATAGGCAGGCCTTGCAAAAGTCCTGATTTCAGGATTTTCCAGGGAACTATCTCCGGGCAGCACTATGCAAGTATTAGATGGGCTTGCACTGCTCTTAGAGCTTTAGGACCATGCAGAGAGTACTTCTGCCTGAGTGAGATCAGCCTCAAGGCTGTCAATCATCCAGATATGTTCATGCCAGACTGGCATGCCTCCTCCGTGGACAGCCCCCCACTTTCTGGATGGAACTGCCCATTTTAACCAGACGTTTCATCACTGGCACACACCGTCTAAGCCCTCCTCCTCATTCAAATTTAGGCTTTATCAATGAGCACTGGAGGCTGCTAAACCCGAATGCTTAAATCTTTTCATTGCCGTTCAAACTTGGCTAGATAATTTGGAATTGCCGTGTGGATAGACTAGACAAAATGTTAACTTTTGCCATAAAACCAATATGTAAAAAAACAATATCAGCCCAAATGTAGTGGAGGGAAAATAATGGTTAAATACTCATTTATAGTCTCAGGACCCACATGACTTACAGTCATTGATGGAAAAAACATATTCTGAGTTGTGCCAAAAAAATGCAACAGGAAAATGTTCATCTATGAGCTTTTCTTAACAAAATGTGGTAACACGACAAAGATCTGAAACTCAGAGGTAAGTTTACAATCTGACGGCTAGAACAGAAGAAACTTTGTTCTTTATAACAGCCGTGTCAAAGCCCTTATGTAAACAGAACTGTATTTTGCAAAGATTAAAAGGCCAAACTATCCTATCTGATATGTGAGATTATTTACTTTTTTAAGGAAGTTTTTAATGTGGGAATGTGTCTTGAACCAGATCAATCAGCATTTAGAAATTACATTAAAAAGTGTCTGTAAATTCGAAATGTATTGTGGCTAATGGAATGAAAAAAAATAAAATAATAATCATTGCCACGAGGGCGTAGTAACAAGTCATAAACACGCAGGTGAATCTCAGACTGGAGAGGAAACAAATAAAAATGAACATAAATCATAAATAAGCAATCTAACGACATTCTAGAAATCTAGTACAAAGGCAAACAGAGGAAGTACACTAACATCTCAGTATCAAAGCAGAAGTTCATATTTCTAAGACTAACGAGAACCTGTCAGAACATGGTCGACTTAATGGTATACAATTCCTAAAGCAATAAATATATAATTCATCATAAAGAGAAATTATATACCTAATTGCTTTAGGAGCTATTGTGTTAATACTCAGCTCCAGCACTACCACTGACGCCATTACGGAGAAATCCCACTGAGACCCCCACCCCTTTAGAGATTGAACCTGCGTTAAAAATCCAAGCTGAAAGGGAAACGTAAATTATGGCCTTGGCCTTTAATTGGGACGCTGCTAATTAAATATACTCTCTTCACAATTCTTTTTTTGTTTTATTGCATATACACCACTTATCTTTGTGCACATGAGTATAATAAATAAATAAAACTAATAAATTAAAGGAAGTATATATTTAAACTATGATAGATCGTTTTCAGTGTGTCCTCACAAATCAGAACTGTATACGAAAAACATAAAAAGAGGATCACCAAAGAGTGCTTCCTGTATTAAAATCAATATTACATTCTCACAAACTTCTAGTACAAAACTCACACGTTCCAGAGCAATAAATCAGCTCTAGTATAGTTGTATTCAGTTAAAAGGCTATGCAGTTACCAAACATTCATCAAATAACTTTTGCCCACAACTACATGCTCAGTGCAATCATAATTTTTTCACAGGTGCCCTACATCCCTAAATGTTACAAGCCCATATCATAACACTGCCTAAACTGGGCAAATCTCAAGACCAGTGATAACTCAACAGCGACACTAAACTCTATACTATACCTATTGCCGACTGCATTAAATACCAACCAGTCAGACGTTGTTTGTTCGCATAAGCACTCTGATATTAACAGGAAACTCCTCAATATTCTCTGCCACCTGGGGTATTTATTTGGCACTGAACACCGAAAAGCCATTTGATAGATTGAACTGAGCATTTATAAAGAGTGTCCTGGCCAAATATGGCTTTCCCCCCATGCTTTATAGCAGGCATCATGGCACTACATAACACTCCATCAGATAAAGATTTCATGCGTGGCTTCCTGTTTACCACTTTCAACATGAAAGGTACCTGTCAGGGATGCCCACTATCCCCACTCCTCTTTATTTTATCATTAGATAGTATAGCCCCTTAGCTCTTCTCCTGCAAAATATGACATGATCCAAACATTCTAGGTGTCTGTGTCAATTGAGCAGACCATTGAATTTTGTTATTTGCAGATAATATTATATTGATCGTACATTTTACTGAGAGCTCTATTTCTACGCTTTAACCCTTTTACAACAATACAGGCAAGTATTATTCTGCAAGCTGAACAAGATGAAATCCTATTTTGACTGGAGAACTCACCACATACCTCATTTATGTATCAAACTGTCCAAATCTAAGCACACAGTCTTGAAATACAATTTCACACCACGAATACACAGATGCAAGGAGGAATTGGCAAAGTTGACATTTTTATTATATTCCACCTTTATTATAAAGCATAATCAAGTATGTGGTTACATTGCCCTTACCAACCACTGAGTGCAACAAGCACTTCCTGTAAGATTGGGTACCTTGGTTCCCTCGGCCACTCTTCGTGGAGGTACAGAGTAGGTACAGAAGGGAAAGGGTGAATGAGACATATGGAGGGGCTGGGCGGTGGAATGAGACACATTATGGGGCTAGGGGGAGAATGAAACACATGGAGGAGCTGGAGGGGCAATGATGAGACACATGAAGGGGCTAGGGGGAATAAGACACATGGAGGGACTGGGGGGTAATAAGACACATGGAGGGACTGGGGGAGAATGAGACACATGGAGGTGCTGGGGGTGGAAATAAAGCACAATGAGAGACTGGGGGAGAATGAGACACATGAAGGGGATGGAGACATCAGACACATGGAAGGGCAGGGGGGACTTAGACACACTAAAGAGCTGAGGGGTTGATGAGACATATGCAGAGGCTGGGGGGAGAAATGAGATACATGAAGGAAGAATGAGACACAAGGGGGGATGAGACACATGGAGGAGTTGGGAGGGGGAGAATGAGACACATCAAGGGTGGATGACACATATGGTGCGGGCCCAGGACAATTTTCACACCGAGGCCCGGTGGTTTCTAGTTACAACCCTGAGAACAGTCCTGCCCATAACAGTAAGGTGTCCCTCTTTGCCCATTTGAAATGTTGAGATAACCTCTTGTGTGCACCATGCATATATTCATTATTTGGCATGTAGGGTTAATGACCGAAAGGGAGGTTAGGCAATGTATGTGGGTTTTTTATGAAGAGGTTAATTGACACATTTTTCGAAGAATTTACAAGTTCATGTGTGCAGAAGATTAATGACCATTGAGGATTAATTGCAATAGGTGTCTGTCAAGGACAGGTTAATTGCTAGTTTGCATATGTTCAGATAAGAAGTGGTTTAGTAATACAGATTTTATTGCGGTAGGGAACTCTGTGCATTATTTCGATTTTTACTTGTGCGTTGTTTTCATGCCATAGTGACAGTTAAAGTCCGATAGATGGAATTAATAGTACTTTAACTGCTTGACCTCTGTGGTTTATGACATTTTATGATTTATAACCACTTTATTTTGGACGGCTATGAATAGTGGGATTTATATTCTGTGGCAAACCTAGCCACTTGGACTAAACAGAGACAATATGTTTTTAAGGGTTGCCTGTATCTTTAATACCATTGTGTATGTGCCTGGTTGTAATCTACTGTATCCTGTAGGCTGTATTGCTTGTATTGGCTATCTGCCGAAAGCAGACAGTCATTTTCTATTTCGTTTCACGAACGGCACCTTTGCGAGCCGTTCGAGAACCGAATGAACCATCTTTTAATTGCCCACACACTAAGGGACGTGTGGCGTTTGTTAACCGATTCCAACAATGTTGCAATCGGTAATTAGAGGCTCTCCTAGGTGGCCGCCGTTCGGCTACCGACCACGCGGCGGTCGGCCATATTGGATCCTTTGTTCCCCAGCGGTGTTTGGTCGTCGAGCGCATGGAACTGAAAACGGCTACTCGACGGCGCGAACACCGCTGGGCTTCCAGACCGTTCGGGAGTCCCGGGCCGTTCGGTAGTTTGGTCCATCTATGTCAATCGGTACTTTTAACTTGTGTTATAAATAATGTGTTTTTTGTGCGGCGTTCGGTTGTTTTAGCTGAGATCTGAGCGGTATTCTCACGAAAGGTGTGCTCGGACCCCAGCTATCTACCGAACGTCCATTCGTATAAATCTGTCAAGTATTCAAAAAGTTATGTATTTTAATATAAATTGCCGGTTCTGCTGCACGGAGGGATAATCCACTGAACGGTATATTCCAGTGGGAGTATCCCTCTCGTGCAGCAGTGCCTGATGGGAGAAATGCCCAGAATGTGAAGTCCCCCATGTAGTCCCCTATTGTGTTACCCCTGCTAAGGCAGTATGGAAACCCCTTGCATGGGGACTTGCATAAATACTGGAGCTGCAAATAAAGACCTCAGTTGACTCCCAGAACTGTGTTTCGTCCGGTTACTGGGGGATTTGGGATATTGCCTTGCTTTTCAGCGCCGACTGTGGATTACTGTATTTACCAGCGGAATTCGTGGGATTTAATATTGCCGGTCTGCTACATATTCCACAGAAGCTCAGAAACCTTTAATCTTAGTAGTTTGGCTAGGTGATCGTTATGGGAAGGGTACTAAACATTGGGGTACTAAATATTCACACAATCAATACCTAACTTGATTACACGGTATTTTATAAACAGGTTTTTTTTTCACTGAGTTTAGAATTACTGTGAATTTACCAGGAAAAAAACAAAAACATTTTAGACCAAATTAGCAGAAGTGCACACATTGTCCAGGGCAGCTATGCTTCCAGCTTATTTATTCTGGTCTAACTCTATTATTTGATTTGTGGTGAATTTGTGCTTTAATGAAGAACTCTAAATTAAAAGATAGTTTCCATGGGAGAATCCAGATTGTGAATTCCTAACCCTAAACTAATTAAATGAAGGAAAATATGAAACTATATTCCTAATCCGAATTGAAAAAATAAAAAAGATTAATTTATGATCTATATTTTTAGTTACTTATTCTATGGTACCTCTGACATCATTGCCCCTTGGCTTAGATTTCTGGGGCCCCTCCGGAAACAGCGCTGTTCTATTTTGTTTAGCTTTGTTAAAAGTCAGTCCTAAATGTGCACAGCACCAACTTATTCAGAGCACGATCCAGACAGAAAAGAGGTAGAGTATCCTATTCACTTCCTATGCAAATGTAGCAGTGTGGGAAAATCCACTGCCCTCCTCCAATAGCCCCAGGGCCACTAATGATTTTATTGCCCTCAGGTCCAGCAGTGGGGAAGGACCAGCAGGGCAAAGAGAGCCCACACTGCCCCTCTGTGCCATAGGACTTTAACCCTTGCACAGCAATAACACCCTTCTGCCTTTCTAGCCAATGGCATGGCCCCCTGCTTGCCCACACAGTCCTGGTAGGGTGCCAGACATCCAGGCTTTAGTGACTCCTGAAATAGATCCTGGTCTTCTATCTATGACAAGCCGCAGGGTGTCGATAGATTCCACAGACCAGGCCTTGCGTAACATAGAGTTTAAAATTGCCCATATTGTGGACCTACTATCATTGATGCTTTATAAAGCAGAAAGAGAAGGCCAGTGTTTCATGTTTGCTGGCCTCTAAGGTGGCTTTATTAGAAGCCTTCAGTAGGGCTGTGCTAATCAAGATTCTTACCTTTTTGGCCCCTCTTTCATACATGAGGTTAAAGGCTGTTAAAAGCAAGGAGATCTTTTTCAGAGCTTAAAAATACATTGCCAGGCTAAAAGAAGCCCCATTGGACAGATGGACTCCTCTATAGGGCTGCAGGAGCGTCCCAGGAAGTGTCTCACCAGGCCCAGTTCAACCACCAGGGTGCAAAGAGCAAGGTTTAAGCGGTGACAAAGGAGCTCAGACCAGAGGTGACCCATCTGCCAAGAGAGGACCTATGCTCTCAGATAAGGATATCTCCTAATCCACCAATGAATTGGAAAGATATTTCTACAGAAAATGGGTCTTAAATTTTTTTCAAAGGGGCTTACAACTCCCCCTTTTTTTTTTTTTTTGAGTACAGGAGTGGAGCATTACAATTCTTGCGTAATCAAAATTTGTGGTTACAATACGTTGTCATAAAGTTACTGTATGTCATTTTGTTTACACTTTGCATTGTATATAGTACATGCGTTAGTATCACCATCCTAGAATACATATCTACCATTTATCATGGCTGTAGGTCTAGTATTTTACCCTTTTAGTACTCTTGGTCCATGGATTGCATTATAGCTTTAGACTCCTTTGCTTTACGCTCCATCCTGTGCATCTTGTTTTTTTTTTGTTTGTTTTTTAAGGGGGTGAATTAAAGAAAGGTAAGGGGTGGTGGGGAGGTAGAGGATTGTGGGGGGGGGGTTACTCACCAGGTGCATCTACTTTGTGTGTGTGGTGGTGAGTACCGCCTAGGTTGACTCGTGTATCTCATGGTGTGCGTGCCATCCTATCTAGGTATTTCTCCCATGGTTGCCACACCTTTGAGAAGGTGCCCATGGTGTTCCGTACCTGCGCAGTCAATTTGTCCATGGTAAAGTTGTCCTTTATTTTGTGTATTACTTTACTCATAAGAGGGGTGTCAGGGCTGAGCCATTGTTGGGTCAGTGCTCTTCTGACTGCTAAGGTCAGTTTGCTAACTAGTTTCTGTTCTCTTGTCGACAGGTCCTCTTGTGGTATGGCTAGAAGGTATGTCCATGGGTCTCTGTGTATTGGTCTCTCTAGGACTGCTGTCATTAATGTCTCTATTTCAGACCAGTATCTTGCTACCTTGGGACACGTCCACCACATGTGGATGTATGATCCTCTCTCTCCGCATCCCCTCCAGCATGTGTCTGAGGTGTTTTTTTCCCATTCTAAAGAGTTTGGCCGGGGTGGTATACCACCTCAGGAGGGTTTTATATGCCTGTTCCTGAAGTGTTACGCATATGGACACTTTAGCTGCTGCTTCCCATATATCCCTCGAGTCCTCCCCTTCCAATGTTTGTTGTAGGTCCTTTTCCCATTGGGTAATGTAGGTAAGGGTTCTGCGTCTCTTTCTGGAGTGCTAAGCTGTGCGTATAGCCCGGTAATCAGGCCCTCACGTGTGGTTTCTGTCATACATAACTTCTCATAGCTAGTCAAAAGGGCCTTGGCTGCCTCTCTTATTCCGGGGTGTTTAGCAAAGTCCTGTAGTTGTATGTATGTGAAGAAGTCTCTAGTTTGTAGTGGCACTACTTGTTTAAGTTCCTCAAATGTCTTGAATGTGTCCCCGTCATATAGGTGATAGTATCTCTGCAGGCCTGTGTATTGCAGTCCTTTAAAGTCCCTCGCCCGCATACCTGGTGCGAATGCTCTGTTTCTCAGATATGGGGTGAGGGCATTCTGGTTAGTGCGTATTTATGTGCGGTGGCGTCCCATATTTAAATAGAGTTGAGTATTGCTGGGCAGTCTGTTTTTGGTACCCAGATCCAATACTGGGGGAGGTCCCTTCCCATTACTAAAGATTCAAGGTCTGTCCATCTGCATGTGTCAGGGGGTGAATGCCAGTTTTTTTTATCTGGGCTAATTGTGCCAAGAGGTAATAAAGGTGAAGGTTGGGGAGTCACAGTCCCCCCAGTCCCTTTGGTCGGTGTGTGTCGGGCTATCCTGTGTCTTTTATGTGCCCATGTAAACTGATCTATGGTGGTTTGTAGGAGTTGGAGATCCCCTTTTGTGACTTTTATGGGCTATATCCACAGTGTCCCATCTGTTTGGTGCATTTTGTCTCAACTTGCGTGTCACAGTGTCCACTGTTCGTGTCCCTCTGATGCGGATCGCCGTCACCGCTGCTTATGTAGGTCTCGCCCTGTGCTCCGACCACTCCCTGGGGAGCAGGCTCAGCGCACTTGGGCCCCTTGCTGGCAAGGCGAGGTCGTCGGGTACCTCGATACCCAGGTCCCGGAGAACACCTCTGGGTCCATGGATGGCGTTAGCACTGTAGGTCTTGGGCCATTGAAGATGAGTATCTTAAAAGGGAAGCCCCAGGCGAAGCGTAGGCCTTTGGCTCTGACAAGATCTGTGATGGGTTTCCATTCTCTTCTTCTTGCGAGGGTAGTTGGAGCGATGTCTTAGTATATCTGCAGCGCCGCTCCTATGTACGTGTATTGCTGGATCCGGCTTTGCCTAAGTATTGCTTCTTTTGTGGAATAAAAGTGCCACCTGATGATGATATCTCTGGGTGGGCTATTTTGCGGTCCCTTAGCTCGCAATGCCCTGTGTATTCTGTCGATGTGCAATAACTGTTCTGGTATCTATGGCAGGCTGGCGCGGAAACACTCCGCCATTACTTGCTCTAGGTCTCCATCTCTGACCTCTTCTGGTAGGCCACGAATGCGCATGTTTTTGCGCCTTGTTCTGTTAGATTTGTCTTCCAGTTCCATTTCCAGTTCAGCTACTCTGGTTAGTAGCGCGTTGGTGGCTGTGCTGGTGTCATTATGTGCTGCTACTACATCTTCTAGCCTGCTCTCTAAGGCCTCTGTTCTAATGCCAATAGCCTGGATTTCGGCCTTCACCTCCCTGGCTGATCTTTCTATTTCACTCCAAATCGAGGGCCACCAAGTCCAATTCTTCCAGGACCTGGCCCCGAGCACTCTGCGCAAATGGAGGGAACTGCGGCCCCTCACCTAAGCATTGACTCAGCAAAGAATCAGATATGCATGGGGCCACCCGTTCAAACTACTGGTACGCAAAGGCAACCAAACATTTGCCCTCCACCACCTGTCACAAATGACAGATTTCACAGAACAACTTGGGATCACGGGTCTGTAGCAAGGACCCCACCGTCGCAGAATAGAGCACCCTCATATAGGTGCAGAGGTCCTGGAGGACCCACAGAACACAGAGACTAACTCCAACCCTATGAACATGCCCGGCACCGGACACCCAACAGCAGCCTGATCCTCTCAACCCGGCTGCCGTGAATGCTAAGACAACCCGTACTTGACGTGATGCTGCCCGCACAAGGCTCGGCGAAACGAACAGAGGCTCCTCTTCACACACAATGAAAGAAACAACGCCACCAGACAACGCAATCAGCGATAGAGACACTCCAGATTACAGCAAGTATACAGGGGACCCCACCCGACCCGAAACATAGGTTACCATCCCCGGGAGAAACATCAAGCTTTAAATTAATATACTCCCCCCCATATCTCCCATTCCCGACCCAAACAAACTCTCTGGGGAACTCATGCGAATAACCCCCCCCCCTCTCCTTCCAACTTACGAACCATTAAAGAGCAATCCAGCCTCCCCCGATCCTCTCCCTGGGAAAAGAAGCAGGGCACCCTGACACCTAGCTACACCGAGAATCCCAATATTTAGAACAAGGGGCCAAACCGGAATTCCCCTATAGGGAACGCATGGCCCCCAACACCCCAACACCCCATCCCCGCCACAAATCCATAAAGCATCTACCTGAGGGGCGGGCACCCAGCCAGACAATATGTAAGACTGCTTTTAGTTGAGCCTTGAAATGTTGTATACAGTTAACCAATGATATTATTGTTGTGGAAATAAGGTCTGCACATATTTCCTAGTTAAAGGAAAATGTCTATTTACTCATTTCACAATATGCTATAGAGTTAAGCACACATATTTAATCAAAATGGCTGCTAGAAGTTTCTAGCCCCTCCACCCCCTTCCCCCTCCCTCCCTTCATAACACCAACTAACTACCTCGTGCAACAAGATGGCGCCGGGAAACCGTGGGAGACCCTCATGGCCCCGATGACATCACCTATAGTAGGCAGAGCATTAGAGCAACCACTTAACACCTAACCAATAATTGATGTATTATTCCATGTTATCTCTGACAATGCTTATGATGTAATTTTGCTTTAAAAGGGACCTGCCGTCCCCTCTGAATAAACATTCCTCAAGTTATTCAACAACCTGGAACCTGTGTCTGGTGTGAATTACTTCAGGGAGCGTGCACGCATTGTTTCATTGATTTGGCCAGGGGCAGATACACAAAGAAATAATCAATACTTTGATTGATTTTTCCATTTCAATTGGCGCCCAACGTGGGGCCACCGGAGGGCCGGTTCGGAGGGCCGGAACCAACGGACCGGAGCGGACCTCCGGAAAGTGGGACAAGCGGAGCCTGATCACCTCCATAATACAGCCGTTGCCTGTGTTATTCTCCTGTTTTGTGTCGGTCTGTCTCCGAGTCCACTTCCGGCTTCCAGAAGGCTACTAGAGACAGGTAATTAACTCATCCGGTGTGCCTTTTTAAGGTGAACCTGTCGATTGTCTATCTGCCTCCTGTATTCATTTGTATGTGTGTGTGTGTGTTTCTCATACCTCTGATAAGTTAGCTTGACTGCCTAGCGGGCAGGGGACGCATTACAGCCGGTGGGGCTGGGATTTTAAGTTTGCTTGACTGCCTAGCAGGCAGGGGACGCATTACAGCCGGTGGGGCTGGGATTTTACAGCAGGTGGGGCTGGGATTTTACAGCCGGTGGGGCTGGGATTTAACAGCCGGTGGGGCTGGGATTTTACAGCCGGTGGGGCTGGGATTTTACAGCCGGTAGGGCTGGGATTTTAAGTTAGCTTGACTGCCTAGCGGGCAGGGGACGCATTACAGCCAGTGGGGCTGGGATTTTGTTTGTTTATTACTGTGCTCCCATTAGTACCTGTGTTATACTGGGACCAGCCTGGTGGGTGAAGGCTGAGGATTGCTATACTTCGATTATTTGGCACCGGTGTCATTAACATGTACATGGCCATTTTACTCTCTGTCATTCTGTGGTTTTTGTTTAATTGTTGTTACAGCGTGGGTACCCTTGTGTGTGTGTGTGTATTGTGTGGTTAGTTCTGGACTCCGGAGTTTATGCTCATTTATATGTTTGTGATTTTTGCAAATGTCTTCTCATTAGCACAGCCACGTTCATCTTTTCTTTTGTGCTTTATCTCTCCTGTGCCTGTTGCCCAGAGCTGTGTTAGTCACCCACGCTCATTCGCTCCCGTCCGTGACCACCACCCCGGGTGGGCGGATCTCCGTGACTAGTCTACGTTTGGGGAAGACGCACGGGGCTCAAGTTCTCGTGGCAGTCGAGCACTGTAGACACTCTTTTTCCCTCCTTCCTTATACCTCCTCTATTCATCTGTCTTTAACGAGTGGCACGCTTTGATTAATCAAGATGGGGCAGGAGCATGCTAGACCTGCTAAGGGCTTGTTGGCTTGTGACATTGTGAAAGAAAGGGCAGGGGAAGATGCAATGATGAAACTTAAAAAGATTGCTAAGGTGTGTGGCTTCCAGATGTTGCCCAGTGGGAGATTGCAGCCAGAGTTTTGGAGAAAGCTACTCATAGACAAGGAAGGTTTATTGTTGGATAACGGACTCACAAAGGTTGCAGAGGCTTGGTATCATGTAGCTAGAGGTTTAAAACGGGAAGGATGGGTCGAGGAAGAGTTGGAGTTTGAAGGGCAAATCGTACATGTTTACCATAGGAGTGTTCACAATGATGATGTTGTTTCTATTGTTCCACGGCCACCACCCTATGATGGCGCCCAGAGCACAACAGTAACTTCCCGCCCTGCTTCCCCCGTCACAGCACAGACCCCACCCCCCGGGGGCGTGCCTTCAGCCCCCACCCCCCTATGTTCCGTGCTCGGGGTAGATGGAGCTTACTATTTCCCAGTGCCACACCACTCGTTCCCACCCACTCCCATGCACCAACCCTCCTGTGACCAAACCCCCTCTTTCAACCATCATCCTGTCTTGTCCATCGGAGCTCCCCCACCTCCATGCCCCCCGTTACCTTTCCCAGGGCCTGTCCTTACTCCGAGTACTGCCCCGACTATTCCCGCCTCAACTATCGAAGTCCCATCCTCCTCCTCCTCTCAATCCCTCTCCACCCTGAGTACCCCGTCACTGGTAAACCCCGTTCCCTCACCCTCTTCGTCCGTCCTACGTCCTACGCCCCCCGCTCCTACCCACTCAACCGACCCCGTCTCCCCGGACCCCTGTCCCCCGGTTGACTCTCCTTCTCCGGTACCCTCAGGAATCCCCGTGATCCCTACCCCTGCATCCCCGTTGTCTCCCACTCCTTCTCATCCCCCCCCCTCCTCCTCCTCTTCCAAGGATCCCCCGTCCCTACTCTCCGCTCTCATGAATCTTGTCCAGCCCGTTAGTCCCGGTTCCCTTGCCTCCGCCCCCTTACCCACAGATTCCCCTCCCATCCTCAAGGTCTCTCCTACTACTCCTCCTCCAGTGTTTCCTCCTCCTGAAGCCCCAGCCCCCTCCACCCTGTTGCATCCCACTCCCGCGGCCGATTTGCCGTCCCTGATCTCCGCCCTCATCGCCCTAACCCAACCCATTGCCGTCACCCCTCCAGCTCCTCCTCCAGTATTACCTCCTCCTGAAACCCCGGCCCCCTCTACCTCGTTGCCTCCCACTCTCGCGGCTGATTTGCCGTCCCTGATTTCTGTCCTCACTGCCCTAACCCAACCCCCCGTTGCCACCCCTCCAGCCCCTTCTCCCGTGTTATCTCCCCCCGACATCCCTGCATCACAGCCCCTTGATCCCGTCCCTCTGACCCCTTCCCCCGTGACCTCTGACGCACCCATGCCCGATGACCTGTCTGGCTCGATATCCGCCCTCTTCACCGCTGTTACTTCCCTGGTTAATTCCGCGATTCCCGTGCCGCCTCCCATTGACGTACCTCCTCTTCCTCCTCCCCCTCCCCCCGAGCCTCCAACCCCACCCTTGTCTCCTGCCGATATCCCCGAGCCCTCCGATCCAATCTCCGCCCTTGCAAATGTCCTAAACACCCACCTTTCGCGCCCAACCCAACCGGCCCCCGTGACAGCCCCTTTCACAGCCTTGGTCCCTCGAGTCCCTTCCGCCAGTCCTAGTTACCCAATCATGGTGGTTGGATCTGAGGTGTCAGGGACATCTGACCAGCCCTATGCGATGGGTGCCTCCCCCCAGGCCTCGGGTTTCCACCCAGCTACCTCACCTGTCACCGCCCTCCCTGTTGTCCCCGCTACAGCTACTCCTGAGACTACTCTCCGCCGTGGCCCAGTGCTGCCCGAAGAGGTAGTTGTGGTTGACCAGAATTCACCCCACCTGGGGGTGAATAGGCTCCCCCAACAGCAAACTATCCCTCAGGGATATACCCCGATCAACCATGGTGCGGATGGTGCACCACCTATGTATGTTACCTTTAACCCTTCCCAAGCTGCTACCCTTGTGACCTCACTCCCTGATCCTGAAAAACACCCCATGCCCTTTTTCCGTAGGATGGCTCAGATCCGTAAAACATACTCCGCTGCTTGGCGGGATCTTATTAGTCTATGTGAAATAAAGGCTGGTGATGCATACTGGCCAATCATGGAACGGAGCTTTAATGATGCTCCACTTACTTCTGATACTGACTTTCGTTCTGGTGAAATTTTTTGTGAACAGCTTCGTGCCTGGGCACAGGATAAACTAGCAGATCAGGCTACTTGCATTAATGATATCCTACAGGACAAACTTGAGACAGTTGAGAAGTATCACTCTAGGTTGACTCAGACTTTTTCAGACTTAGGGTTTAGTACTTACAACAAAGCACACACCCAGATGCTATCTGCAGCTTTTGTGGCAGGGCTTAGGGAACATATTCGTAAGGGTTTAATTTTAGCTCGGCCTGAGTATAGAATTATTCCACTGGACACTCTTTTGTTGGTAGCCAAGGGCTTAGAGTCTGTTTTGCTTCCTACACAGCGTAGAACTAGTCCTCTGATGTATGCTACCTCCGCCTCAATCGCAGGTCCAACCCAGGGACCTCAGATGCTCCCCCAACAGTACACCCAGTCCCCCCAGACACTGCCTGCACCAATTCCCTTCTCCCGTGACCGGACTGTCACGACAATCCGGACCTGCTTTAATTGTAATCAGCCAGGTCACTTTAGGAGAGATTGCCCACACCCTAGAGTGTTCCGCCAGCAGACCCTCCGGTACCAAAACCCCCATGTCACCAGCTACAACTTCCCCTCCACTGGTTATCTCCCTGCCCTACCCCATCCACAGTTGCCTCAGTTACCTCCTCCACCTCCTCCCCCTCCGCCTCCTGAGTACTCCC